CTCTTTTTTCGGTTTATTCATGCGTACTCTTTTCTTTTTTTCTGGTGCAATAACCTACTGTTAAGTTATACAAACTCTGAGGACTGAATAATATAAATGTCCCTTGCCATTTGTTCTGTGACCTTCACCACTGATGACCCTGTTAACTTGGCTTTAATAAGGGCTCTCCATCGTCAACTCATGAGATAGAACTATTGAAAGTAGTTTGATGAATCAATTGAATCTGATGTCCTGAATTATTTTAGAAAGTTTTTTCTCCCCAGTCCTACGCACTTCTAATTTTCATAGTGTCGTACAAAATCACTGTGTCTGATTATTTGAGAGTATCTTTTTTTTTGTCAAGTTTCCTTGAATTCTCATTATTTTTCATATGCCGGTCAAGAAAAGAATGCTTTTGAATGAGTTTTGCCCCTGGTACAATTTTTTCCCCTTAATGATTGTTATTTAACAAAAATTCTTGTTGCTTCTATCTTATCTTTTTTAACAGCCCACCAAATTTTAATCTATCGGCTTTCGTGATATTTTTCGTGCTCGCCCTTTTGGAATAGTGAAATAATATTAGTGCAATTTCTGATCCATGATAAAAAAAATGCATTTAACTAGACATAATTTTAGGAGAAAAAAAGTCAAAAAGAAATGAATAAAGGAAAATAATCTCCGTTCAATCAAGTAGTTTTCAACAAATCTTAAAATATTTGATTTAAATAGTATTCATCAAATCATTAGTTTGGCACATACTGATTTGACATTCGAAGCAGAGTGTTTTATTTCCCTCCTAATTTGAAAAGAACTCAAGTTCCGCAATGTATTCAATTTAGGAGGGGGCCTTATATTATTGTTACGCTCACCTCACTGTTATTCACAAACTTAAAGAAAAAAGGGTTTACTTCATATTCTTCTTGTACAACTTGGTGTCTCTAAAATAATCTCACCAAAAAAATATTGTTTGAACTCCATAAATATTGAATGCAGATTTGCAAATCCACAATGTTGTTATAATCAGAGAAAAATATATTTTGTCTCCTTCATTGCATCTCCAGATTAAAATTAAAGTGATCGATTCGTTTTTGCTTCTCATAAGTCTCATTGTCTAGATGGAAGTTATTCTTGAATCTTAGCCCATATATTATATTTGACATTCAAGACACTACTATCCTCAATTTACAGTAAGAATATGGTGTCATTGCAGTAAACCCTCCATGCATTTTGTATGTCTGTTCTAATGATTTTATTGTATGTGTACAGTCAAGTGAAACTTTCATCTCAAGAAGTAGAAGGTGGTTAACAGTTAGATAAAATGGTTTATCTCTTCAGTGGAAGCCATTGTATCATTGAGCAAAAATACAAAAATAGGGATTATAAAAACGTATATCTGCTTGAAAAATAATTTGAGTGTTTCCTGTTTTGCGCCCTCCAAGATTTGTAAGTCCTTTGTTTTTTCATTTTCTTTTTTTCAAATGAAGAATCACATGTCGCCCCGGTTATATTTACATGTAAGTAGTTTCTATTTTGCCAATAAAAAAAGAAATGTGATTTGGCCTGAAATGTAAATATTATTGTAAAGATGTAAAATACCAGCTCCTTTTATGTTTCATTTCTCTTATGATTTTGATTTTAATTGCATACATATTTTAGGAATATTTTTATCAAATATATTTTGCAATCTAATTTTATTATTGTTTTCTATTTTTAGATTTTAATGTATTTTTTTATTCCTCCGGATGTGAAAAATTGTCGCATAGGAAAATGTTCAGTATTGCAGTTGAACGATAGGCTTTAAATTCTGATAGTTTCATTGTAAATACCTACATAAGTTAGTGAAATGAATTTAAATAATCAAAATTTGTAGATATATAATTTGTCTTGAATTTGTGATCCATCTCCAGAGACCTACTTTCATAGCCACGTAAATATTCTAAATATGTATCATCAAAATTGTCTCAGATTTATGGAAAATCTGCTAACTCTCAAGTTGTTTGCTGGAAATATAGTCATAAATCATCTTAGGATCTTTTTCAACCTCTAAGCTATTTATTAAGAGATTCTGCATCACAGAGGAGTTTCCTATCCTTGGTTAATCCTATTCAACCGAAAAACCAAATTTAAGCAAGTCATCAGTTTTTTTAAAACTTTCCAGTGTTCTACTCTCAAGAATACAGATTGGCAGTTTCATTAAACTTTAATTATAAAAGAGATTCGTGTAAGTGTGAATGTAAAGTATTACATACTATTTAGCTAGTTTGTTAACAGTTCCTAATAAGCTGAGCAAGTTAAGTATTTTTTCTTTTTCTTTTACGTCCATGATTGTACTGTTTTTCAACTGCCAAATTTTTCTTCCTGTAATGGTCTATAATCTGTAGCACTTGATTTACCCACATATGTCTTTTAACTAGGTACCTGTTTATTACTCCATTCAACCAGTATCTTTTTTCCCTAACTTCTAAAATTCATGCAAAAATATTTTAAAAACTGACTTTGAAAATTAAGCCATCAACAGCCTGTTTTGATGCACCAGCTGACTTTTAGGCATTAGTAGTGTATCATAAATTATTTTAAACATTTGAGCTTTAAAGTATCAACAAAAACTTAAATTATTTTAGTTAAAAACTCCCTGCAAATCCAGTTGGAAATTTTTTAGGCTTCCTGTTGAAATACTCTCTGAAAGGCTCTGAATTTTTCATGATCAGGGTTTATGTAATTACATACATCTATTTTCTCTCATTATCTTGTCAAAAACTTGAATTTTTTTAGAATTTTATCGGATTATCAGTAATTTGATGATCAAATATATTTTGGAGAGGAAAGTAAAAAAATTAAGCTATGTAACTTGAGTTTATCTCTTTGAAAGGCGTGATTGTCACAAGTTTATCAAAGTAGTGTTACTTTCTCTGAGCTGTAAGCCCTCTGCAAGAAACTAGGTATTCCTGCTAAACCTGTATAAAAACTTTTCCAGTATAACTTTGCTTAATATTATTGTTAGTGGAGTTTCATGGTAACTGCAGCATTTGTTTTAAAAAATCAGTATTTTCCAAATTTAAATGTATTAATTGTGTACATAAATTTGCTATGCAAGATCTCAAAGGCCAATTGTACTTTTTACTTTTATTCTGTGGTTTTCTTTGTGTGGTAAGGCTAGCAGAAAATGATCGGTCACCTGTTAATTCTATTCATATCAGTAATGGTGCTGCTATGATGATAAAAACGTAGGTATTATGCGATCTTTGCTGGAACCAAATACTTTATCTACCTATCATCCCTATTATTCTCTAAAGACTAAAGCGCCAGAAAGAGCAGTAGGAACTGAGGAAAACAGAGAACAGAGGAGAACAGTAAAAATTACTCTAATCAACCCATTTTAAGTCTCAGATGAATTAATAATTTGGCTAATTAATATTATAGAGGTCTAAGATTTAGAACGGGTGGAAAAAACAGTATTTGCTTTTTCTCTCGCACTTTCATCTCTGGTAATTGAGTCTTTGTGAGAATGACTGATTTTATTTTTATTTTTATTTTCTTCAGAAATTTCAGCGCACGGCAGGCCTCCATAACACTTCCATGGTTTTTTTCATCGTGCATGCGATATTTCATTTTTTCTTCCATTTGATTTTTCACTTAGGAAAATATAAAATCAATCGTAAAATATTAATATCCAACAATAAATACCTTTTATTTTTACCCTTGTATTTGGAATTGTGAGCAAAAGAATCAAAGAAATCAAGCGAATGCCTCTCAGAACTTTCCATTTTAAACGTTTAAAAGAGATCAGCTGGATCAAGCAAAGCTGTCTGCTTAAACTACTCTAATGCAAGTTTGTTTAATTATTAAAAGGAAGGAAGTCCTAGTTCAATAGATCAATGAAGTTAAATACATATTACCATTTAAATCAGCGTATAACTATTCATCATTTTATTTCCACCTGAACGGATTTGAATTTCGTCAACAAGTCTGTATCATCTGAAGCTTTGGATAAATACGGTATTTTTAAATATCATCTCAGCATACAGGATGACCCAAAAGTCTCACACAGCTAGCGTTAGGCATCACTCCTGTAACTTATGGCCAAATCAAAACAGAGATTTGAAATTTCTTGAGTACTCCTTAGGTCAAAACAACTTTTGGGAGCCCCCAAAATTTTAAAGGGACCACCCTGAAAAAGAGCATGGGTTACAGGGGTGGTGCGGAAATTTCGCCCTTGATGACCTTTTTCTTGATGAAATTTCTCTATTGTTTACCCCATTCATAAGTTTAAATGACCCTAATGAAAGAAACACAATCAATTGTTTAACGAGAAACGATAAATATGAGAGAAAATAAATGAGATGTGTTCAAATTTTTGCCTGCAGCTCAGCTTATCGATTCAAATACAAAGGTTACAGTAGGTTGTGTCTTTCAAAGAGGAACCAATTTTCCTGGCTTATCTTAGAAACAAAATGGAACACAAATTGGAAACATCCATGGTATTAAGTTTTTTTACTGTATGTTTCAGTGTTTTTGTAAAAGTGCTACAGGACTTGGTTCTTTTTTGATGTACGCATTCTGAATGTAAGTGGGGGCTTCTGTAAATGAATTTAATTTCAGTTTAAACTGGGNGGGGGGGGGGGGGGAATGATTCATAATTTTTGAAAGTGCTATATCAGAATAATAGTGAATCACTGCAAGTGTACACAGTAAAAATATCTGAGTTAAATCAAGTTGGGGAAGAATATTGACCATATTGTTCCATTGATGAATGGAATCTGGCAAATAAGTATGTTTCATGCTTGCCAACTTAACTATTCATTTTTTTTTACATACTACTCAGCAATAACACGTTTTCATTAGCCTCCTCTGAAGTGATGCTAGCTGGTCCAAATTTTTTTCTGATCCCACAAAATATTCAGTCAGTAAAATTTGCAGAATGAACTTTTTTTTCTGATTTGCAGTCTGATTGATTAAATACCAAAGTGTTTTGATTTTTTAAGTGCAGTACCAATTTTTACTGTGTATTCAAGGCATAAACAATACCTGTAAGTTTGTAAAGTATTATATAATAATATAGGAGCTATATTATTTAAGTGCATTGTGTAAAGTATTATTTAATAAAGAATTTAAAAGTTTTGCAAAAATTGTATGTATCATCTCTTGACATTTGTATTTTCCCTTGAGTTTGAATTTCAGTAAATTCAGACTAGTCCAAGTTGCAGCTAAATCAATTTCTTCAAGTCTGACCAACTAATATCAACTTTGTTAGTTAATCACATTCTCATTCAGCACCATATTCCAAAAGAGTTAAAGTCTTCTTTTAAATTAAAAATTTGCCATGGCCTATGACTTTACTTTTCTTTTCTCTTCATTAAATTTTTCATGATGTATCGATGGCCAAAGTATCTTTAGAAGCAAAGAAACCATGTATCTCTGTTGCAGTGTTTCAAAATATCCGCTCCTATTCTATTTTTTCCAATAGAAACAATAGAACTTTGTGGCTTGAAATTCATACAGAACATTCTGTGAACAGAGAGGAAAACCAAGAAAGTTCTCAAATTTGTTCTGATTAGTTGTCCAAAGAAAAAATAGTATGACAGAAAGTCTGCAATGTCGCAAACGGAGATGTGTGGTTTTGCACTTTAGCCATCAATATTTGCTTTGATGGTGCCCAATTATTTGGTGCATGTGTTTCTAAAAAAATTCTTCCCTCCACCAAATTTTCCATCATATTCTGATTAATTGATAATTGATCAAGCCAGGTACCTACTACAAATATACCTTCAGTCTATACTCAATTTTAAAGTGAAAACCTAGGGTAGCGAGAAAAAGAAATAATGTAATCAAAATTGAAGAAGAGTCATGAATTTGACGTGCACATTAAAAAATTAAGTCAAAATTGGTCAAGTAAATTGCCAAATCTCTTCTCTGACAAATTAGGACAGAATAAAGCAATCAGTGCACAGTATCAATTTTATAACAAAATGCTGAATGATTCTTTTCATACTCTGCAAAACGTGTGGTGCGGATTTGAAAACAGAATTGAGAATATTAAACATGGTAAAAACCTGATGTGCATCAAGCCGTAATCACTTCTGCTGTTTCTATTTTTTTTTTTTTTTTCCCGTTCTACTGTAAATAAGCGAGTCTCTTAGGAGTTAAAGGATGGAGGTCATTTAGAGTTAGGTTTCAGGTAACAGATGATCTACACACAAAGATTTCCTTGTTGAAAGTATACATTTAATATTGAGAAATTTATAAAAAGAATAGAATAATTTTAAAACCCTTTTCAAGTAATAAACACATGTATGGTAACTTAATCCTAAAGAATTCGGTGACTCAGATTTAGCTGAGTGGGTCCCAATCTTGTTTGCATTTTAGCCAAAAATGCATATTTAATCACGAGAAATTTATCAAAGAAGGATGGACTAAATTTGCAACAATTAATGATGGTCATCAACTGATACACACACATTATAAGATGATTTATCTAATACTCATAAATTTCATGACTCAAACTATTGATTAACAAATCCATTTGTTTGAAAAACACTATTTTTTAAAATTTTCTTCAGAGGCAAGAGTGCATTCTCAATATCTCACACAATAAGGCACTTAAAAAGTCCATCAGATTGTTATAATGGCTATGCTGTACTCTAAAAATTGATGTGACCTTTTTTGATAAAAATACTTACATACCTATTTGCATCAGGATTGTCCCAATGGTTAAAATTAAACTTAGTTTGCATGTGCACTTAAAATAATACATAAAATCGTATAGTAAACTATTAATTTATCAAACTTGTAAAAAATGAAAAGAAATTTTTGAATATGATTTGAACCTTATGCCTTGATTCATGTTTATCAAAATTAAGGGGATAATGCTGATTTCATTTCTAATCCCTCTTTTACATTTAAAAACGAAGAAATTAAAATCAAGTAGTGTTCGGTTCTTCAGGCTTATCAGTTGCAAAGTCAGGTCATCAGTAACCTTGTTCTCAACTCCTGTTTGCAATGCATAAAAACAGCACTTGGCGGAAGGTAGAAGGTCCATCTCCCTCAACCGCGATGAGTCCCAAGCATTTTTTTGCATTTGGGGCAGCGATGGGTGGTGCGCTCACAAGACTTCATGCAGTACGGCACCCAGCAAAAAGGTATGCAGATCCTATAATCATACAATATTAAACATTTCAAAGCGTAGGTAATCAAAATTTGTTTTCAACCTTCTCTCCTCAATTTTTGACCATTCTCGATTCGCGGTCATTCGCCGCCGGTTACGCGAACAAGCGGAGCTTGGAGTGTGGAGCTTTTTAGACCACAGAACCGGACTTCTCGGGTCGTATTACATTTGATTGGCCTAATTTCAGCTCAATCGGAAAACTTTCAATTTTGACCTTAAAATACCCCTGACCCATCTCCCCTGTCCCTGTCCCAACCTGAACAAGATAATATTTTATTTTTATTTCTCTAACTTTAGCTGTATCCTTCTCCCGATGTTCATATACCTATAAATAAGATACAGGGCCGGATTGAGGGGGTGGCCACATAGGCCGCGGCCCATGGCGGCAAGTTTAAGGAGCGGCTTTTGCATTTTTTTAAATGTAGGTATAAAAAAAAATCGGATAAAAAAAAAAATTACAAACGAGAAAAGCGCCTTTCGGTGACACAAGAGGCAGCACCTTTAATTAGTTGAGTTAAGAGAGGAACCAAACACGCAATCTGGCATGGAGCGGCGCGGCGCGGCGCAGAGAGCAATGATGATGAGGACTTGAGATGGAAAGGAGAAGCCCTCAGCGCGGCGCGGCGCACGGTGAATCGAGTCAATGAGAAAGGTCGAACAAAATTTGGAAACTTTAAACGCTTGTAACTCCGTATATACAAGAATCTGGTGTTCTGCAAGTGGTTCCATTGGTTTTCTCGTGAAATTTTCTTCCATTTTCATCCCTTGAACTTTAAAATGTGACGAAATAAACATCAACATTTGCAGTTGTTGTCAAAAATTTCATTTCGGACCTCTTTAATTGACTCAATCCACTGTGCGGCGCGACGGTCGGCTTGTAACACATATTAGCACCTACAAGACTGCATGAAACTTAACGCATTGCGTCAAACAGTACGTTCAGCGGCGGTCGGCGTGAAACGCATAGCGCCTACAAGACTGCAGGAATACTTCACGCATTGCGTCAAACTGTCAAACACAGTACGTTCAGCGGCGGTCGGCGTGAAACGCATAGCGCCTACAAGACTGTAGGAATACTTCACGCATTGCGCCAAACACAATGCGGTCAGCGCGGCGGCGGGGGTTAAAATTATTATTAAACCACATTTATGTTCGTTCTTGCATAATTTTTACGTTCATTTCTTACAAATGGAAGGCCTTGTTCACACAGAGATAAACTTTCCCGCAAAGTTCCGCGAACTGTTGCTAGTAGTGCTGACAGGGCTTTCGCACAAAATGTGTCCAACACAAGTAATCGCGCCTTATGTACCCCTCCCCCTCCGGCACGTTCACTTGATGGTTTTATTGATGTTTCGAAACGAATGAGAAGGGGGCGGCAAAATACAGGCGGCCCTTGGGCGGCAAGTAGCTAAATGCGGCCCTGATAAGATACGGCAAACCTCTGTAAGATATCAAATTATCAATCAATTATTTATAGTCCAACTTATAATCCTTAATCTAGATATTAAATAAACTATCAACAGCGTTCTATTTTGACCTTGTCGATTTGTCTAGATTTTAGCCGGGAAAAAACGTCGAGATTATACCTAGTGGCGAATCCTACATAGTTCGAGACTTACAGTTGGTCGCGCTCGGTCCCGAGGCTTTCTGAGCCGAGAAACGGCCGAGTGTTTCTGACCGATTTGAGCATGCGCGAATAACCACGATTATACGCGACTGCCAGGACGGGTTGACGCTTGGAGCATTTTGGACCGGAAATTCGGACTCATCGACTCATTTTACCGGGGACTAGCTTCGTTTCAGCCCGATCGGAGAGCTTTCGAGTTTGACCCCAAAATAGTCCACGTACCTAATCACCTTCGATTTTTCTCAATTTTGTGCAGGAAATAAAATTTCGAAATTAGTGTCGAATCCTACATAGATCGAGGCGTATAATCGGTTGCGTTCGGTCTCAAGGCTCGGCGAGGCTTCCTGAGCCGAGAAACGGTTAAATACAGGTTTTTTTAAAAAATTAACTAGTGCGGGTTTTACACCGATCGAGCGCACCAAACCAGACTCGTGGAGCTTTCTGAATTAGAAAATCGGAGCCTTCGGGTCATTTTACTAAGGATTTAAGAACCTTGGTTTCAGCCCGATCGGAGGTTACCTAAATCGATGACGTTGGTTGGTTTTGATACCGTTGGTCCATATCAAATAGCTTATATCAAATTTAGCTAAATAACTTGATTTCAACTTACTTCTAAATTCTTTTTTAAAACTTTGATTATCTAGTTATTCCATTAAATCAATTTAAACGTAGATTTTTCTTGATTTAGGACGACGGGGAAAAAGTATTGAGATTATCGTCGAATCCTGCGTAAAATCGATTGCGCGTGGTCCCGAGGCTCCTCGAGGCTTCCTAAGCCGAGAAACGAGTGCTTTGGACCTTTTTATTTAGAATTCCGGTGATTCGCCGGTCGTGCCAACCATTGGACTCGTGGATAAAATACGGCGGGAATGGTGTACTTAAATATCCCCCCCCCCTCCCCAATTTTATGAACAATATTATCTGCAATTTTCTCTGAAAAATTCAAGGAAAAATGTGCATAACTTTTTCCAAAACAACTGTTCTGTCAGGGGAATTTTCGCAATATCCAAATGTTCTATACTGCGTTTTTCCTAAGCACGGCAGTAAAAATAAGCTGTGGTAAATTGAATGGAGTAGAGGTCGCACATCAAGAACAGTGATAGGAAAATTAAATAAAGATTCGGTATCAAGAAAGCAAATACTTAGTTAGTGATAAAATAATCTGAAGGGAGAACAAAAGACCGCCTCCAATCAGTAGTGAGGCGTGAATGATCGATTATCGATATTTCCCTATTTGAAGCTAGGGTAAATAATCGATTATTTAGGTGTTCGTTGCAAACACCCTGTTTCTCGATCCTTTTTCATCCGTTTAAATGGTAGATCAATCGATATATCGCAAAACACGCCACACCACTGCCTCCGATCTATTTCTAAAAGGATTGGGTCCAAGTATATTTACGAGCAATGTCTGAAAACAGTAGTGTCCACTCACACATACGAAATAAAAAGGAACCAGAAGAAATTTCTATGGTGAGAAAGGGAGCATGTGTGAGGAAGGATCTTCCTTATCATTTCTTTTTAATCGTGCAAAAGTATTCTAAAGATCCTTTGAGTATACTTACCCTGTTATGAGCATTGTGCAGCAGCAAACATGAGCACAGCAGCGTGAGCTTGTGTTGGTTTTGGTAATGACTTCCTCTCTGCAGTGAGGACACCTTATGTACGCAGGGTCGGCTCCCAAAGTCGGAAAAACCTCGACTGTTATTTCTGAAAGAAAAATAATTTCAGGAAAATTTGAAGGAAATTTTAATGAGAATGAATTAACACAATGGAAATATGAGGAAGGGATCTTGGAAATCATGCAAAACAGTCTGTCTAGAACGAGAAAGAAGCAACATATAACAAATAAAATTTGATATAATAATGGAAAAATTAATTGAACTGAAGGTAATGAAGGTATGAGAGTTTCTAGGTCACAAAACTCACGAATTCCGTTTTTGGGATCCCATTTCTTTCACGATGCACCTCAATGCATAACTGGAGTTTCCCGCTGTAAATTACAGAACACTGGCCAGAGCTCCTATACCAATTATTTGAAACAGTTATTTAACGAAAAGTCGCCCTAAACTATTTTTCTCCCTCAAAAAATTGACTAATCTTCGGAAAATTTTACTCGAGATAGGATAACGTCTTTCTTATATCATTGGCTGTTGCTCATGCGGCCCTTAATACACCACTACAAAGAAGAGAAACTGAGCCAACACAACATGGAAGGCAAAGGCCGCGCGTTGATGACGGCGCAGAGATACGACTATTCGTGCTTGATGGATGTCCGTGTTGCATTCTGCAAAATTGAAGGCGCGATGGCGCTAGGCGCGCGTTCACGAACTCTCTCTTAGTGCTCCGCTCTATTACATGCTGCCAATGATGTGTTTCTCAGATTCAAGAGGAAAGTTAAAAAACGAGGCCTGATCACGTCTGTTTTATCTTCGGCTGTGATGACACTCGATTTTTTTTTTCAATTTTAAGTACGTCTGACTCTTTTTTCAAGATATGTAAACCCATACAACCCGAGGAGCACGTGTTTTCAGCAAGCCTCGGGACAATTCTGCAGTGCTAACGAAAAACACCGTATGAACCTTCAGGCGTTGCAAAATTTCCTTTGATAAAACACAAATTTCCCGGTAAACTTATACGAATATTTTCCTTCTAATTTTTCAGATAATTTTGATCGCAATTTCACCTAAAGTTCCTAAAAATTTCAAGGAAAAATATTCATAACTTGCCTCAAAAATAAACATTTTAGCGCAGGAAATTTGGCAACTCTGGAGTGTTCATACGGCATTCCTCCTTAGCACGGTAGAATTAGTCACCGTATTGGACATCTAAGTAAAGTAAGACTAAGATTAAGATCCGTTTTCTTCTCCTTGCCTCGTAATTTTATGTTCCGCTCTCACAATTACTTCCAATTAGTATCAAACATTTTCAAGTTCGAGCATTTTTCATGCAGCTCCTCCTTTGAGCTCATAAACGATTGCAACTTTACGGAGATTGAAAAATGAAAGTACTAAAGTACTCGGCTAAATTTTTCAGCGGTGATTAGGCAAGAATTTAAAATTTTTACCAGGATCTTCTCATCTTCGGGATAAAAATAAGAACAATATTTCGGAAAAAGCTTACGATTGTAACCAGGAGAAGAGGCCATTTCATGGACCTCAGCGCGGCCTACGCCGCCTACGTGTTGTCCAATGACTTGATTGTAAGCAGGCGGGGCTGAAGCTGGTGGAGTCGTAACAACCTCGTTGACAGCTGGATAGAGGACGGTTGGTTTATTAAATTCTTGCATCTAGAGAGCAAAAAGCCACAAACGAACATTAATCAATTTGAGTAGTTTTCGCCAACATTATGACCAAATGCCGCTTACACCTACTTACCTCTAATCTGTCATATCTAAATATTTTTCAGTCCCAAACCCTCTCTTTGAATTGAGATTTTGATTTTTTTTAGATCATTTACCTAAGAATTCAGGGCATAAAACTACACGGAAGTGCGAATTTTCATGAGAATAGGTTCACAACCGTTGTCAAAATTCAGGCAAAAACAATTCACTTTCCAAGTTTCTTTTTTTTGGGGGGGGGGGCGTAGCTTCGACTGGGAACACGTTTGGAAGAAACTTTGTACAACAAAAATGTCTTAATTAGATCCCTAGAACACGCTCCTGCAATCTGGCCGTTAAACCGTGGATCAATCTGTATATCAGCTGTATTGTTAACAGCAACACTGTTAGCCGCTTCATGCTCCAGGCGAGCTAAGTGGCAACAGAGACCGTTTTGGATATGAATCATTTTTGTGAGCTGTCTGTATCGAGTGCTTGAGAACCCATTACACTCTGATCTAATTCAGATGCTAGGGCACACAAGCTGCGATAATTGTTTGTTTGTTTGATAGCAGATTTGGCAGCCTCGATAATGATATCAATGTAGCATTGCCGCTTTTCAGCGGTTAAATTGTTGTAAAAAGGGGCCTTTAAGGAATATTTTGGTGATAAGAACACAACGCAATAATGCGACGCAGCGACATTTCTGATTAAGTAGGTATCTACACTTGTGCGTCACTCAACCCCTAGTAGCAAAACCACAGAAGGAAAAGATAAATATTATGTACGAAAGTTAATTTTTTTTATATAATGCATGCATACAAAAGTGTTAAAAGTGAACATTTTTATGTAACCATTATATAAAAAAATGTAATAATTTTCGTGAGCTTTTCGCGAACATACTAAAAATTCCTCTAATTCGCGTAAAGCTCACGAAAATGATGACCTATTTTTTTATATAATCGTTACATAAAAATGTTCACTTTTAACACTTTCGTATGCATGCGTTATATAAAAAAATAAAAAATGTGTGTATAAAAAAAATTACCTTATCTAGCTTTTATCATTTTTCATATATTACGGTCAGGTCTGAACTTTGATTTTTTTTTATATAAACGTTACACATTTTTTATATAAAAAAATCATTTAGATAACAGATATGTTTTTTTTATACTTTTTTTAGAAAAACAAAAATTTGTTCTGCTACTTAGTACCTAAGTTTAGATTTGGACGACAATGACACCTCGAATCAGGGTGGCAAAATTTCATGAAATATAGAATCGTGAAATTTCACGCGCTTAATTTCGTGAAGTTTTAAAATTACACGAAAGACCTTGAAAGATATTTTCAGCTCAGGCTAAATAATTGTCGATCGTTTAGATGCATCGTTTTACTTCATCACACTCACATAGGTACGTTTCCCACGGGAGAAAAAGAAATGAAAACCCAGAGGCAGATGAAAAAGTAATGTTTTTTGGGTAGTTTAGGTATTATCTGTCAGTGCAAATTGTATACCCCACCTCTGAAATGAATTGTTTCATGTTTTCACGGAGTTTCCACTTTCTCATACCTAAATTTTTTTCGCCATGACCGAGCAAAATGAAACAAAAGTCTTCTGATTTTAACTTTTGACGAAAAAAGTAGATTTTGATTTGAGATCAACGACGATGTTGAAAGTCGAACATCGATTCGATTTTTTGGCCAAATCCAATAGATTTTGTTTCGGAGATGACGTACACAGGTCTGCATCTGAAAATACCTACAGATACCTATACCTATACCTATAGGTAAGGTTGCCTGCCCAATTTTTGAAGGTGAACTGTCGGAATAAGCGTAAAACGCAGCGAGTAAACCAATTGCATGCCTTCTTCCTGCTAGAGCCCAATGAACATGCTCATATCGGCGCAAGCAACAATTACTGCTTCGAAGACGCTCTAATTGCCTGCCAAATTTTTGAAGGCGAACTGGTCAGATTAAGCATAAAGCCTTTAAGGCCGACCTCCCAATAAGGCTACGCTACATAGATTGCAGCCTGAGGGCGCAACTCTTTGACAGACGCAAAATTTTTGAGTACGTAGGTAGGTACCTACAAGTGTTATTAAAAATTCATTCCTCGTCTCTTTTGTCAATTTTTATTTTCCAAATTCAGTTTTTTACGGTGTCAATATTTTCGCAATTTGTTTAATTTTAAAATCATGTAGGTATATGTGAAGGTGGATTTGAAACTTTTCCCCCATTTAACTCACACACCCATCATTCCTCTTTTTCCGGGGGGGGGGGGGGGGGGGGGGGGACNGGGGGTGGGACTCCTACCCTGCGCCCCTGCCCGAGAGCGCCTACGTATAGAGCGCCAGTTCGACCTACAGCTAAAAATGAAAATCCGGCCCTGCATGCGATACATCGATGGCCTAGACGCGAGACAACGTATCTACATTTGCGACGTTGCAAACCTTCTGTAATCCTTCATTGTTCCTTTGTGAAACATGTCAATGTAATTTCTTGAAATAACTTCCTTGATTTTGCTTCTCTGTTAGCAGACTATTCTGAATGAATTTCAAGCTATGATGTTAGCTAGTTTCTCTTTGAAAGAGTAGAGTAGGAGGAAACATTTTGAAACACGGCAACGGAGATACGTGGTTTTGCAATTTGGCCATCGATATGTTTTTTACTACATTTTGGGCTGCTGGCCTCAAAAATTACCGTCGTCAGTGGGCACTCTATATATCAAGGACCAGTTCCCCGGAAAATTGAATTTTCCTCGGAGAAAGTCTTGCCAAGCAATACCTATTTCTTTTGGCAACAGTGAAAGCAAATAAAAAAAGCGCATTCTTCTGTAAAAACTGAATAACTTTTACAGGGTGTCTAGTGTTTTTTTCATTTCGTGAAGTCCTAATGAAATCTTGATTTATCCTGATTTTTGACTGCTAAAACCTAATTTCATAATTTTTCCAAATCCTGATTATATCCTGATTTTTTGCGGAGAAAATTCAAAACTTAAAAAGCAGAACTCTAGAAGGAAAAGCTTGATGAAAAAATCCGATTGGACGGCCGACTTTCCTCAAATCCTGATTTCACGACCGATTTTTCCTCAAATCCTGATGAAATCGGGATTAAATTCTGATTGACCTCAAATCCTGATAAGATCGAGAAAATCCCGATGCTAGACAACCTGTATTAGTAAAGTAGTCTATCCGTGCGAGACAGACAGGTAGGTACAGTTTTATGCGCGAGACAGGCCGAAAAAAATCTGCATTGGTCTCTTATTTTTTATACTTCAAAACAGCATTTACGAAAAAAACAAAGGCACAGGGCGTGGTTCAACCAATCAAATGTCTGTAAACAAAAAAACAAACCTTGGCTCAGCTGAAAGGCGGCACTTTTCGAGAAAAAATTCGGGGCAGAGCACTCAAATTAGACCCAAGGGAGGACACCGAAACTGGACGTGTAACGTAACTGATTGACACTGACTGAGTGGCCACGCGCGAGAAACTGAAGGAATCTAATCACTGACTTCGAGTCGGAGTGAAGCGGCAGCAGAGTAAGGAAACACCAGATAAGAGCCCTCGAGATGGAGATGCAAAGCTGCCGGACTTTTTCTCGAGAAAGTTTACTCCCTGAGCTCATTATCGCAATGCTTGATTTGGGGAATTTAACTCAAATTTGACAACGCTGCCAGATAAGAATAAACAAAAATCGGAAACTATTACTCGCTCGTTCCCTTTTTGCTCTCTCCCGTCTCCCCCACAGGCTCTCCGACTGTTTTACGATCAGTCCCACCGCCCCCGCCCTCCTGCCATGGATACCCAGCTCCCTGGACGAAAACTGAGCATGGTTCAGCAGAAATATACCCAATTTTTGGGCTTAGGTAAAAACGACTTATCTCTAGTTGATCTCTATGAAAATTAGGTGATTTAATAAACATGTCCATTATCTTGGCTCCTTTCTGTTGAAATCAGTCCTGCAGGGGACGGTGACGGAGGACGTAGGTAACGGAGGGGCCCTTAGGGTAGCAGAGGCACCACAGTCGCACGTGGGTGGGGGCTCCCTCGCCGCCGCGACCAAAACGGCATTTTAAAAACGTACTGTTGCTGAGTGTCCCCCGATAAAACATTTTTTTTATTTAAAAAGTTATGCATCTGATCCTTGAAATTTTGACATATTTGAGATTAAAGTACGAACAAAAAAAGCTGGAGGGAAAATACCATGAAAATGGGTATTCACAAGTTTTACAGAAAAGTATAGTATTTTATGAGAGGAAATTTTGCAACCACGAGAGGCTATCATGCTGCTGTGCTAAGAAAGAACGTCGTATGAACATTCGAGAGTTGTCAAATTGTCTTTCATAAAACATGTATTTTTGACGCAATTTACTGATTTTTTTCCTTGAGATTTTCAGATGTTTTACATTAAAATGCGGAAAAAATTGTCTGAACATTTTGGGAGAAAATATTTACAATTTTCCCAGTATATTCTGTCGTTATCGAAGGAAATTCGGCAACGTCTGGTGGCTCATACGGCGTTGTTCCTTCGTAGGGCAGCATGGGACACCAGACTTGCATCCCTTCCTCGAATTTCGCTGAACTCGCACGAACCAATCTCTCTACCTCGTCGCTCCTCTGAGGCAAAGGCGTACCTCAATTGCCACGTGAGCCCTGTGCTCCGTAAAACTCTACGCTTTCTGGGGCTCATGTGGAAATAAAGATACGCCCTTACGTCATAGGAGCGCGACGGCTATTGTTCCCCGTACTCCCTTATCCCCTTGCCTCGCGTCTGGCTGGAACGCCGCGCCGCAACACTCATTTCATCGCATTTCAGGTACGGAACCTAGGAGCGTCAATCTGCAGCGTCCAACGTCGCGCGCCGCACAATGGATCGAGTCCATGGGAGAGGTCGGACAAAATGTGGAAACTTTGAACGCTTATAACTCCAATTATACAAAATTTTGAGGTTCTAAAAGTGGTTCCATTGGTTTCCTCGTGAAATTTTCTCCAAGAAACACACCGTTAAGTTTAAAAGATGACGATGTAATTTATGAAGGCTATTTCCATTTAAATCACGCCGCAATTGAAGGCGTTTTTAAAACAGCCAAGTTCCGATTCCCGGATTATCGTTTTGCATAGTTCATATTCTTTTGTTATATTCCGTACCACTCGTTTATTTTTAATCCTCGTAGAAAAACCACCCATTTGTAAATACTATTCTAGCTGGAACGCACTTAAGCTATGCATTCACCACTGCAAAAATGTCAAAGGAAATCGACACGCCCAGCGTGCATGGAGGCTATTTGAATCGGTTTCTGTTAAACGGGCGTAAGTCCACAAATCCAAATTTTTCAGGAGAGGCAAAAAACTGATTTTCTCGTTATGCAGGACACCACTAAATTTCAAAAAAGGGTTCAAAGGTTGTATAAACACCCGTTTAAAAGTTCTGAAATGTTTTTTTGGCTCAGAAAAATTTTAGTACCCTTTTAGGCTAATTTTAAGTTTTGGACTTACGCCCTTATACCAGAAAACGAAGGATGACTGTGACAGTTTCAAGCCAAAAAACTAATATTAAAGTAAGTTTGAAAAATGTAGCACATGGTTTTTTTCTTTTATATAGCATAGGGAGTTATTATATGTTTTTAAATTTATTTAAAGGCCTAAATTTTCTAGAATTACTCCTATTTTTCCAAAATTAATGAAGGTGACATAGGATATTTTCATTTAAAAAAGTGTTGAAACCAAGTTTTCAAATTTCAATCATGTATTTTTGTGATCAATGCACAATAAGAGGTTATATCACCTAACAGGTAGGTCAAGATGCAAAAATTCAATACAAATGTTCTTCATTTATTATGAAAAAAGTTACAGAAACTTTAGAAATGCGCGAGTTTGAGAACTCGCCCCCCTATTCCACAGGCTCTTATACATAGGACTTCCGCCATCTTTTCAGAAAATGTGTATGTACCCTGAAGGAGGCTGAAAATGCAAAAAAAACGATTTTGAAATTTTTGGACTTACGCCCGTATAACAGAAACCGATTCATTTCCATTTAAATCTTCCGTCACATTCTTACGGCGCAATGATACAACTATTTGAACTCTCCGGAATGCGTGAGGTATCACGCCGCATTTGAAGGCGTTTTCAAATCAGCCAAGTTCCGTTATCGGAATAATCGTTTTACATAGTTCATATTATTTTGTTTCCATTTCTAACCACTTGTTTAATTATAATCCTCCCATAAAAACCACCCATTTGCTAAATACAATTTTAGCTGAAGCGCACTTAAGCGCATTCATGACTGCAAAAATGTTAACGGGAATCGAAAAGGCCAGCGTGCATGAAGGCTATTTCAATTGCAATCTTCCGTCGCATTTCTAAGGCGCAATGATACAACTATTTGAACACTCCAGAATGCGTGAGGTATCACGCCGCATTTGAAGGCGTTTTCAAATCAGCCAAGTTCCGATACCCGGATTATCGTTTTGCATAGTTCATATTCTTTTGTTATATTCCGTGCCACTTGTTCATTTTTAATCCTCGTAAAAAAACCACCCATTTGTAAATACAATTCTAGCTAAAGCGGATTTCTAGCTAAAACGGGTAACACAATTTCTAGCTAAAACGGGTAACACGGGCTCCGGAGGGGGCCCGTGTTACCCGTACGATACCCGTGCGTAAAAACCACTACGAATTCACATGCAACCCTTGTTTCGTCAGAAAAAGTGAAAAATTTCCCCTTAAAAATTTCGCAAAAGGTGAATAGATTTTCAGAAACACGCTGAGGCACTGTAGAATTCTTCTTAAATTTTCAAAGAAGTATACTTCTTGGAAAATTTCTATCTATTTTCAAGATTTTCAGTACAGAGAGATATTTTTAGTAACTGCGTTTCATTTTCTGATCACATAGACTACAATGAAATAAATCAATGCAAATTTCCTCTGAATGACCATAAAGATTTTCGTTTGGCGGGTTAATTAAATTTTTCTGATGTTTTGAACTTTTGAGATGAGAACCATTTCTAATGAAAAATACTCTACAGACTGAACAAAAAATTATGGTAATCATGATTTTAAGGTGAAATAATGAGGGGTAAAGGTGAAGATGAGATAAAAATAAAAACTTTTACTGATGATAGATGAGAGATGCTAGGAAATGAGTAAAATAAAAAATGAAAAAAAAAACCAAGAAAAACTTTTTAGAAATCTTACTTTTGAAAAAATTTGTAATTTGTAGAAAAGTTTGAAATTTGCTGAGACGTGGTCAGATTTATCCAGAGAGAGGAAACCAGATTTATCCAGAGAGAGGAGACCAGATTTATCCAGAGAGAGGAGACCAGATTTATCCAGAGAGAGGAGACCAGATTTATCCAGAGAGAGGAGACCAGATTTATCCAGAGAGAGGAGACCCGATTTATCCAGAGAGACCAGATTTATCCAGAGAGAGAGAGGAGACCAAACTTGACTGGATTGATGGAGTCTTGAGACAAACCAGAGTGATCACACCCTTGTTGACGTGTTGGTCACGAGTTGACAGAATCTTCACTGCTACTTAATCAACTTAGACCAGGTTAGGATAGTTCAAGCCTGAAACATGTACACAAATATAATTAAAAGTAGGAAAACAAATCCTGAGGTATATCTCTAAGGAAATTTAAGATTTGAATCAATTTAATTTTAATGTTTCACCTTTGTTAATAATAATGTACTTAATTTTAGTTTAAAAAAGTCTTTTTTAAAATTTAAATTTTTGAAAAAAAAGAAAGAAAAAAACAAATTAACTCTTTGGAAAACAAATTTGGTGAAAGATGTCATACCAATTATTTTACTCTTGATAATCAGTCTATATCCTCTTTTTTTACTTTAAAGGTTCTTGAAGAGTACCAAGCACTACACTCGAGAAAAAAAATGTGGTAGGTTAAAAAAATGCAATGAGGTGATGAATAAGTGAAATGAATAAAATATACGATCTGATAGTGACTCATTTGTAAAAATTTGAAGACTATACAAAAGATAATTTACTAAAAACTTTCTCTTACTTTACTGTACTCCGGAGGATCCGAAGCCCCTATCACCTCTTTCCTCTTGAGACGGATTTCGCTGTAGTTCCTTTAAGACGTTAGACTCCTCGCAATTTAACAAAATTGATACTGGAAAAAGACATTTTTCCAATATCAATTGTGCTACCCGGTCTCCGGGATTAACTAGGAAACTGATAGACGGGTGATGGTTGAAAAGGACTATACCTAGGGGTCCAGTATAGTCGGGATCAATTACCCCCCCGCCTACCGTTATCCCTTGTAATGCGAGTCCGGATCGAGGAGCTATGCGTCCATAGCATCCAGGCGGGATCTCCACCGCGATCTCCGTCTCAATCTTCAACCATCCTAGAGGTTTAATCCGATAACTATACGCTGACTTAAGATCAATCCCAACACATCCACGGGACCCGAACGAAGGAATCCATCCGTGTTTGTTGACTTGTTTGAAAGTTACACTAACTTGGTTCTCCATTTCTTCCTGTTTAATGAACGTTTTTAGAATAATGTACTTTTAAAAAAGTTAGTGTTAGAAAATTAGTTAAGGATAAATAATAAAATAATTCCGAAAATTCCAAATTTTTCAATGAAAAATGTGATATTTTCGCGAAATTGTAATTAGAATATTATTATCTTCAATTGTATGATCAATCAAGACTAAAAATTCGCTATTCTACCGGTAAAAATATCGATTTACAGTACTGGACTTGTAATGATTTGAGGTTTTGCAGGTCATGATTTCATGCAAGTGAATATATGATCAATCGAAGGTAATAAACGGGTAAAAATGTATGTTTACAGGTAAATATATCGAAATAAATCGAAAATTGCAAATTATTTAATGCGATATATCCATATAAAATGCGATATCTTACGATATCATACTTTCAATTTTATCATATTCAATTGTGTGATCACTAACAATAAGAAAATCACAATTCTACTTGGTAAAAAATATCGATATATCGATATATAAGAAATATATCGATTTGTAGTACTGAATTTGCAATAGTTTGAGGTTTTTTTTAGGTTATGATTTCATGAAAGTGAATGTATGATCAACTGAAGGTAATAAACGGGAAAAATGATTGTTTAAAGGTAAATATATCGAAATAAATCGAAAATTTCGAATTATTTAATGCGATATATCCATATAAAATGCGATATCTTGCGATATCATACTTTCAATTTTATCATATTCAATTGTGTGATCACTGTCAGTAAAAAAATCACAATTCTACTTGGTAAAATACATCGATATATCGATATATTAGAAAAATATCGATTTGTAGTAATGAATTTCCGATAGTTCGAGGTTTTTTTAAGGTCATGATTTCACCTCATGTTCGACCTTCATTTTCTGATGCTAAGAGTCTCCAGTCTGGGCATCCTCGACTTCAATGGCTCATGGCTCAACTCCCTTGCCATAGACAAACGAAGGGGGAGTCCAGGGGGGCCTGGCCCTCATAGAACTGAAAATAGTATCATAAAAAAAAAATAAAAATGTTCCAGATGTTTTGAATGCAACAATTCGCAAGTATTTTGTGCTGAAAGTATAAAAAAAACATAACTATTCCGCAGAAATTGATGGAATAATTCTTTATGGAAGCTTCAAAATGCGTCCGATTAGTCGTATAAATTCTAAAATTTCTCGGGGGATGCCCCTCCGTGCTTGGGGCACGGACCTTAAAACTGGCACCAGGGCCCGACATGGGATGTAGCGAGCCTGGATGTAAACATCAAAATTTGCAGCTTCAGTTAAAAATTTCATGTTCGACCTCTCTGATTGACCTATCCACTGTGCGCCAGTGGATACTTAACGCTCCAATCGAGTCGAGGACAAGAAGACGCTCAGATTTCGGTGTACGGTACCGTAGGAGCGGAATTTGCGGATTTTTCCGCTGCTCTCTGCTGTCAGATCTCAAAATTGTGTCGAGTTGCATGCACCGTCATTTCCAGCAAGCCCGCAATATTTCAAATCATTTGGAAAAAAAAAAAACCAAAAGTACGAGAGAAACTTCCGAGAAAATCAGCTTATGATCCATCCATGCAATTGAAATAGGATGCTTAAAAGGTATCAGCCGAAGACCATACCCGTTTTCTATCGTGCTGTTTCATTAGTTAAATAGAGGGCATAGTGCGTTTTAGCATGGTGTTGGGTTTACGTTTGAGAACAAATTAGACTTCCTACTCTTTTCAAGAAAACGAGGTCAATTTCTGCGCTTTTAATACTGCTCTTCCACAACCCTTGGATTCATCAAGTACAATGAAATTTGCCTTTTCAATGAAACCATTCCGTTTAGGAATCAAAAATTCATAACAAGAGCAAACCGCGTTTGACAAAACGCCTTCATTTTTCACGGGTAGGCAATTTCTTAACCTACGACCACGTTGATTCGTATCCATTTCGCTGTGCCGTTCAGCCAGTCAAACAGGAGTCAAAATGTGTTTTATGTTGATGTCAAGCTCCATGTTTATGACATTTGAATCTTTGATCGTTTGAGAGGCAGGAAAAGTAGGAAAACGACCAGCTTCCGACATCTGCAGGACGGCCATTGACGACGAATTTTTGGGGCAGCAAATTAAGGAAACGCGGCGGCAGATTTCAGAAGATGATCGTTTTCTGTTTTGGGTCCCTACCCCCCTCTAAATTTAGCCCTGTCCAATTTTCCACGTCACCACTAAAAACGCCTTTCCAGGAATTTCGGTTGAAATGTTTGGGGCAGAATCGAATTTCAAAATATTATTGTATTGTTCAAATTTGGTTGCACAGGGAAACTATTGACATAAAGGCTGTTTCGAAAATGAACCGAGAATAGTATAGTTCCGTGTTGTTAAATGTAGTTAGAATATTTGTTGGGATATTTATCAGTCCTTTAAATTTGAGGTCTGCTTGAAAGGTATATGCTGCTGAGTAAAAAGGAACATTTGCGCTCTGAGTGACTGAGCCTGCTGATTTTAAAGTTATGGCCATTCAATTTGCCACAATCCGTATGCCAACAAAATACGGACTTCGAACAATGATCATGGATCACGATCAGAGACCGCACGAAAATTGTTGATGAAACAATCCTTAGAGTATGAATTGGAAAGTTAAATGAATTCATGGATATTTTATCAGGTGATTGTCAATGTGTAAAGTCAACTTACTTGTTAGTCTTTGGTCCTGATGTATTTAAAGTGTTTTGACGATGATCATTTCGGACCCATAAGTGGGTACTTCAACAGGTCGAAAAAGCGAACGCTAAAACGCGAACTTGTCGAGAAATTAAAATGAATAAAAATAAATACGTTAGGTATACTGCACTTTACTCCACGTCATCAGCGCGTATCTGTGTACCCATCCGTGATTTTCGTTTCGTGACCTCCAGCGAGGAGGGGAGAAAACAGGTGTGCCACTTGTCAAAAGGTACACCTTTATGAACACCACATTTATGAACACCCACGTATGGGTCCGAAATGATCATCGTCCAAATACTCTAAATGCATCAGGACCGAAGACTAAAAAGTAAGTCTACTTAATATTGAACAAATAAATTTGAAACTCCGTCATTTCAGAAAGAGAGAAATAAGGCGAAATAAGGTTCAAGGCCGAGATTGAAAACAAAAAAACCAATTTTTTATTGAGTATAAATAGCTAAACAACAAGTGATTTACTTAAACTCTCACTGATCAGTTTCCAGACTGGTGTCCATAATCATGGTCCTCCGGTGGACTGTCCTTTTCTTTTGGTTCGCGTAGAAGGGAGCTCAGCTCACTTCTTGACGACAGTTCTTGATGAAGGCTCGGTGCCTCTAGGATACTTCGGAGGGTCTGTTTCGAGTCGATGTCCACGTCCGAGCAGGATTTGGCATGCGACCGACTGCAGCTGTGCTGTGACATAGACTGCTCTGAGGGAACGTGTTTTGGCGCGGGTGCTGAAATGGCTGAATAGGTCTCGCCTTCTAACACACGCTGTAGTTGCGTTTTTGCAACTGATTTTTCTTCTTTTAAACGCTTTACAGGGGATAATTTACTATCAAAATCTTCTTTGCAGTCTGCCTTGGTTCCGTTAGAATTCTGTAACAAAGAGAATTTTATTGAGAGTTTGATGCATTACTTTTAAAATTATTAAGCCCCAGACAAGGACCCAGATCTCACCCTAGAGCGCAAGATCTTCCCTTCGTTGTGAAGGTCAGGGTCGGATTTACATTCTTGCCGCCCATGGGCCGCCTGTATTTTGCCGCTCATTCTCATTCGTTTTGAAACATCGGTACAAACCATCAAGCGAACGTGTCGGAGGAGGAGGGGTGCATAAGACGCGTTTACTCGTGTTGGGCACATTTTTTGTGAAAGCCCTGTCAATACTAGCAAAAGTTCACGGAACTTTGCGCGAAAATTAACTTCCGTAAACCTACCTCTGTGGGGACGAGGCCTTTCATTTATAAGAAAATAACGTAAAAATTATAAAAGAATAAACATGAATGTGGTTTAATGATTTTAATTCCCGCCACCGCGCCAACCGCACTGTGTTTGGCGCAATGCGTGAAGTATCCCTACAGTCTTGTAGGCGCTATGCGTTTCACGCTGACCGCTGCTGACCAAGGGACCGCACTGCTTTTGACGCAATGCGTGAAGTATTCATGCAGTCTTGTAGGCACTATGAGTTTCACGCCAACCGCTGCTAACCGCACTACGTTTGACGCAATGCGTGAAATATTCATGGAGTCTTCTAGGCGCTAATATGTGTTTCATACTGACCGGCGCTCCGAGGGCTTCTTCTTTCCAAAGTCCTCGTCATCATTGCTCTCTGCGCCGCGCCGCTCCAGGCCAGATTGAAAGTTTGCTTTCTCTCTAAACTAGACTAATGAAAAGCGCTGTCCCAAGTATCACCGAAAGACGAACAAATTAGAAATTCCTATATTTTAACTCTCCGGAAATGAGAGATTTTTTCGCCTTTTCTCGTTTGTAATTTTTTTTCTAAATCAGATTTTTTTTCTTGATACCTATATTTGAACTAATTACAACATTTGCCGCCATTGGCCGCGGCCCATGTGGCCACCCCCTTAATCCGGCCCTGGTAAAGGTCATTAAATATTTGCGGAATGAAACATTTTTTCCCGTTTTAATAGTACTTTTTCCATTCTTTGTCAAATTTTTTCTTATCAGCTGTACCTAATCGCATGTGCTAAAAGGATTATATTTAAATAGCAATTAACCTGTACTTCGTACAAGTCGCAATCGCACGCGCTAATATTGGCGCGCTTTTTATTTGATGGCGATACAATTAGAGTTACCTACTCGGTGGTTGAAAAAATTGTGTCGTGCATTTGAGCGTGTTGAGCCCGGACGTATTGATTTAAAAGCGAGAAATATAATTCACCTTAAATTCGATTGACATGCAATATCAGCTACTCAGAATTTAAATTAGTTGTATCTTTTTTTCGGTGCTCCTGCAGTGTTCAATGGAATACAAGCGGAGGACTGGTATGTAAAGATTATGCGTCCGACGTTCTTATTCCTTTTTTTATTCCTTTCTTTCATATTCTCTTATTTGATCCTTTGGAGCGATGAAATCTAAGAATAAGTTCATAATTGAATCGTACAAGAAAAAGCGCAAAGGCGAGCTGATAATAACACCAACTGTCAGTCAGTTGACTTCGGCGCTTTTTCAACTCCCAGCTCGGGCCCGTTTACTTCGAAGGCTATGAATTTTGGATCCCTTTTTGTTCGTCCGAAGGTTCCTACTCATATTTCTTTTTCCCTTTTCAACGAAGGCATACTTGTAAAGAGACTTGCATGAAACATTGAAATAATATTTCTCATCTTACTTCGGAAAAATCGCGGCAGATTTTGAAGTATTCACATTAGTTTACTCGTTCAAAATACGCAGTGAAAAAGTTACAACGCAGTTACAACGTCGCAAATTGACTGCTTTTTATCTCACCGTCGGTGATGAGAAAAAGTGTACCTACGCACGCGCTAGGGTGTAGTTTCCAACATCGAGTCGAAGTGATACCGTTGAAGGCGCCCTGAGCAACTATTCCGCCACAGAAGTATTGCACAGTATCAGACGAGAATGAAGGCGCACTGCCGTATGTCAATTGACCTGCGTCCATACTGAGCGGCGACGTGTGTTACTTTGTCTGCTATCACATGAGGGCTATGTCTGTGGCTGGCTGCCTCCTTGGCCATGGAGGTATCTACTTCAATTTGCAATGTTTGATTGGTCAGTGCATGGCATATGCCATTGCCGCTAGTCGGTTCAAGCGTATCGCTTGGAGACTTAAACGCAGAATAAAGAAAGTAAACCTTGCAATTCCACCTGCAAGAATACGGAATTAAATCCTAGTTTCACGACTTTCACGTAACATTTTGGAGGGACGGGGGGAGAGGGTTGCGTGAATTCTGAGTTGCTGTGCGTAAATCACGAAAAGGAAGAGGACCACGTCACACGAACTATCCAAGAGCATCCCGTCTGGAGCAGGTAGCAAAGCCTTAGGGCATTATTTATCAGACAATTCACCCAAAGAAAAATTGGAGTTGAAATTAAAAGACCACAAAGAGCCCAAAAATATCCGTAAAGCGTATTTGACCTTTCTTCTCCGAAGAAGAAATCTGAGAAAAGGTTATTTTAGGGTGTCTACCATTTTTAGGAAAATTTAATTTCTTTGTTTACCCACCATTTTCATCCTCCCCTCCTAAAGTGCGGCAACCACCCGTCGACTCCGGACTCCTTTCGGCTTTTCTCGGTTATTTTCGATTGATTTTGGCTGTATTCGGACATACATACGGTGTGTCCTGCTGATGACGTCATAAGGCACCCTTTTTCCCTTATCGCGTCGCAGAAGTTCGTCTGTAGAGTACTTTTTCGGCCAGTTCGGCTCTTCTCGGATTTATCGGGCTATTTTCGGTCATTTTGGAGTATTTCCCGCTGATGAGGTCATCGTAAAACCCGTTAATGACGTCCCCGGGGCGCGTGATTCCTGCCGTTCTCGTATTTAAATATTTTTTATTCTTCGTGTTGCATTACATATCGCTTGCAAATAGTGGACTGGTGCAAATCTCAAACCGGGCAATCATGTGAACTAAAGCTTCCTCCAAGCGCAAGTAACTGAACGATCACACCTACGAGAAATGGACCGCGTTTAGCAGAAAGGAACCAAGCCACATAATATACTATCATATTTAACCGGGGAATTCGATGGTGTAAGTCGGCAATCACATAACTCGTTTGCGGTGTCTGAAAATCTCCGCCTCTATGTTATTTTTTTAGAGGAGAACAAAGTGACATGATTCCTTGAAGTTTTTGCAGAATTTTCTTCGCATAGAGAGGAAAAATCACTGGAGTTTTAAAGAATTGCCGTTGAGTAGTTTTCCGTTTAAAGAATAAAGTGTGATAGGAAGTCTGCGACGTCGCAAATCGAGTTATGTGATTGCCGACTTACACCGTCGAATTGCATTTTTTACACAAGAACGTTTTTGGGGATTCCCTTGAAAATTTTAAGGAATTTGCTTCGTACTGTGCAGAAAATTCACCGAAAGCACAAAAATTCGGACAATTGACCGTTTTCTTGCGAAAATTTAAATTGCCCGATTAAATTTGGCAATAGCTAATGTGGCTTGGTTCCTTTCTGCTTAACGCGGTCCAAATGGAAGTTAGGGTGACGCGTAGAACATAACGCGTTTGATGCTGTGACCGACTTGAGCGTTCAAAGCACGTGCCAACCTGAGGAATTCCCCCTGGAAACATACAGGATCGGTCGAATATGTGATTATGTGAGCCACTTATTGGAACCGCAATAGGGATTTCATGAGGCCTCAAAAATATCGGGAGAGGCGACCCGAGAGATTTTTACGACTTTAACGGGAGCAGAAATGGCGCACAATGGATTGAGTCAATTAGAGCGGTCGAACATTAAATTTTTGACTAAAACTGCAAATTTTGATGTTTGTTTCGTCACGTTTTAAATTTTAAGAGATGCTTTCATCAGAAAATTTCACGAGAATACCATTGGAGCCACTTTTAGATCCTCTAAGTTTTGTATGAACGAAGTTAAGCGTTTAAAGTTTCCAAATTGTGTCCGACCTCTCCTTTTGACTCGATCCTCTGTGCGGCGGTGGGCGCGGAAGCGGGGTGCGAATGACCTCGAAAAGCAAAATAAAGGAGCCCGGAATGGAGCGTCTGAGCGTACACAAAACCTTTCTTAATTTTACGAATCTGATTGGACAAATCCTCAGAAGCATCGGTATCATCGAGGAAAAAAAAAAAAAAAACGTGCGAGAATGGAGACGGTAGATCACCAGATCTCTTCGGCACAAAGAATTTCTTATAGATTTTTCGTAATATTTCGGGAAAATCACAGCAGCTTTTGAGTGCTCATATTCGTCGAGAAAATTGCAACGTCGCAAATTGAATCATGAATGCTTTCTACCTCACCGGCGGAAAATGTGAAACTACGCAAGCGCTAGGATGCTATTTCAGCGATAATCGTAATCTTCCCCCATGAAGTCGAAGTGATACCGCTGAAGGCGCCCTCAGCAACTATTCCACCACTGAAGTATTGCACAGTATCAGGCGGAAATGAAGGCGCGCCGTTATATGTAAATTGACCCGTATCTTTCATTACTACTGTGAAGAGTCCTACTAATCGTACGGTATGCTGCTCCGGTTCGATCGATTTTCGTGGAACTTGGTACCAGGTGGCATTTTTCGATGGGAAACTAGAATTTTAGCTTAAATTTTTAAAAGAAAATCCAAATTGGTGTATGTAGTCTAATATGCTATCTCGGCTCCTGTCCGTCCATATTTGGACGTATTTCTATCAAACAGAACTAAGCGCCATTGAGGGAAGGAAGGGAGAGGAGGGCTTGGATTGACGGGTGTTGCAGAGCACGATGCTTGTTCCGTCTCATACTCGCAATGCTTCTCCATGGCGCTTAGTTCCATTTGACAGAACGCGCTACCTGGGATTCTAAAATCCTCAAAAGGAGCTCAACTTGGCGCTTAGTTCCGTTTAACAGAAATACGTCCATTTGTGCAACATGGTACCAGGGAGTATTTGTTGTAAGTGAGAGTCGAATTTTCAGTCAAATTTTCAACATTCAACATTCCTGAATGGCGGAGGTGGCCTAGAATGATATCTTGGCGCCTTCGAAATTATTTAACTTTGCAATCGAGACATCTACTTTTCTTTTTCTGCTAGTTTCAAAATCCATGTGCCGATTTAGACCTTGATATTTGCGCACTCTTCAACTTTTTGGTGTTGAAAGTGCCTGTTTATTTATTCATGCTTTTATTTTTTTATTACTAGTCTACGGGGAATATAATCCAAGTTTATAATCTTTACATCATCGATAGGGCAAACGCAAGCTGATAATAACACTGCATGTCACTTAGTATGTTTCGGCGCTTTATCAACTCTTTGGGCCGGTTTACTTCAAGGGCTATGGATCTCTTTATATTCGTTTGAAGGTTCCTACTCATACTTCTTTTCCCTTTTTTAAAGAAAAACATACAAAGAGCCTTCAAAGAAATGTTAAAATAATATTTTTTGTCAATTTTCGGTAAAATCAGGGCGGATTGTAAAGTGTTCATATTCATATATTCGTAAAAAATAGGAAATGAAAATGGTGCAATGTTACATTTGAGGTATGAATGGTTTTCACCTCACCGTCAGTGATGGGAAAATGTACAACTGTATAAGCCCTAGAGAGTATTATCAGCGCAATCAAGATCTCCTGCCATCAAGTCAAAGCAACACTATAAGACACTCTGAATAACTACCTATTCCGCTGCAGAGGTATACTTATACACACTCATTACACAGTATCAGATGAAAATGAAGGCTCACTGCCTTACGTAAATTGGCCCGTATCTTTTACCACTGTGTAGAGTCCTACTAATCGTACAATTTACAGGATCTATTCGATCGACTTAATGGGTGACATTTTTCGACAGGAAACTTGAATTTCAACTCAAATTTTCAAAAATCCAAGATGATGGATGTGGCCTAAAATAGTATCTTTGTTCCTGTTTGATTTGTGCATCTTAGACCTTAGTACCACAGGGTAATTTTTTGACGTATCAGTCGAATTATCAAAATTCAAAAATCCAAGATAGTAGAAGTGGCTAGGAATATTATTTTGGCACCTCAAAAATTATCCAAACCTTGCAAATAAGGTATCTATTCTTTTTTGGTTCAGTTCTAAGACTAACCAAAGTATCTCTTTGAAATTTTCTCTGAATATCATTGTACGAATAAAAAAATTTACAGAGAATATCCCCTAAAATTTTCGATTTTGGTTAAAAAAAAACAAAAAAAAAACCACAACATGAGCGAAGACTTTAGTCACAATCAGAGGTACTCATTTTTTTACTTAAGCTGTCAATTTTCAAGGTTCAATCACTCTCAGACTTGCGCTTTTAATTATAATGTCACTCTATCATTATAGAAAAATACCTTAGGGAAGAAAGTAATTTTTAAAACTTACGTCTACATTGAGATGAGGTAAAGCCGGAAGACTCATATGGAAAATGCATGTGGATCTTTCAAATAAAACTGCAATTGGTTCACGGCACGGAATATCAGCCTTTGTAAGGCCGCAAACTTTGAACAAAACCTGGTTTGGATCCTGTTGAAGAATACAATAAAATGGTAATTAGGTAAAGACTGCACAAAAACTGGTTCTCTATCCCTACAGGTCATTATAGGCTAACTGCACCTAAAAGTAAAGAGCCTTGGTCAAGTATAGCACATAAAAAATCGACTATAACGACAAGGTGCGAATTTAAACATTTTGATATTTTCCTCTTCAAAATTTCATATGAAGCAAAATTTGCACAAAACGATTCTTAAAATTAACTCTTCAACAAGATATTGATTAACGTTTTTATTTTGTATTGCTTATGAATAATTTGAATATCGACGGTGTAAGTCGGCAATCACATGACTCGGTTTGCGACGTCGCAGACTTCCTGTCATATTTTATTTTTTAAACGGAAAACCACTCAACAACAATTCTTTAAAACTGCCGTGATTTTTCTTCTCTGTGCAAAGAAAATTCTGCAAAAACTTCAAGGAATGATGTCAATTTGTTCTCTTTTAAAAAAAATAACAGAAGTGGAGATTTTCAGACACTGCAAACAAGTTATGTGATTGCCGACTTTCACCGTCGATATACCGTTCACATGAAAAACCAGAGTCTATGAATTAAAGCGCCTTTTACAACTGTTTTGACAAGCTTCTTAATCAAGTAGTGTTGTTCTCTTTCTGCAGCCTGATTGTTGAAATTTATGTCGGCATGACAAGAATCGAAAATCCTTGCATTACACAGCGTAGGTAGGGCTATGTCTTGTCTTATCTTGCCGACGAAGCCGGTTAAAGTTTCAACAATCAGGCTGTTGTACAATGCTGCTGTTGACAATGTGCAACGGCTGAACCAAAGCACCAACATTGAGGTGCCATACTTTCATGCCTCAGAGATTGTTACGGTAACATTCAAGATGCCATTAAACTCGAGTGGATTATGGTTTTCTTATGAGGGGGAAGCTTGAGTTTACTGTTATCTTGGTTAAAAATTACTTAAATAAATTTTCATAAAAAAATTTGGTTCTACATGATATTTTGATGAGAAAACATGTAATTGGTTACTTAAATTTCTACCGTGTCTAGTGGTCCATTATTTCAACCTTATTGTTTGTTGCGTTTCTGCTGATCTTCTAATTTTCTGATGCACTTAGATAAATATACACTTAAAAATTAGGTTTAAAATTAGGCAAAAATTACTCTAAAAACTTAGGGGTGATATATTATTAGCTAGTGAAGGTAAATCAACCTTTGAGGGCAAGGCAACCTTTAAAGAGGAATAAAATGAATGGCGGTGGGAAGTTAATTGGGAAAATAAGTAGGAAAAATTATTTCCAAAAAATGCAACTACATTCATAAGGAGATGCAGTGCATACAATGGTAAATTGTACTGAATACAGGACTTGCTGGGTGAACTTACTTGCAAACAAGTAAAAAACTTGTAAACAACTTGTAATGTGCAGGTCATAAAAATAACAAGCAATCATTCACGATAGATGCATTGTATTCACTAGATCTTTGCCCTGGGGAGCTTTCTACATTATTCCTATGAAAACGGACTGTTAGCTACGCAGTTGGCCGAAATGGATAGCATAAAGTCGCACTTTGCAGAATGGAAAAATACATTCACAAAATTATCATAGAATCGCATGAGAGGAAAATCAAACGCTTATTCTGTCTAAGTACCAATAATTCTTTGAAAGAATGGCTTGCTGTTGCTCACCTCTATAATATGTTTGCGGCAATACTTTGATAACGGTAAAACTTTTAGGGCACACTTAACTCCACCCTCAGTGAATATACATTTGGATCCATGCGCTCCTCTCATTTGAACACCATTGGCGGCCTATAATCAAAACACAAAATAGAGGCAGAACATTAGATAAATTTATAGGTAGAACAAGGTAGTAAAAGAGTGCTGGGTCCACACTATTTTGCGAGGGAAGCAAGGTCGAAAAGATGAAAAATTTTCAATATGAGTAAAAAATTTGTGCTCTAAAAGGGTATCAGTGCTGAGAAAGAAACGATTTTTAGGCAGAGAAATGATGAAATAAGCTGGCTAATGACTCGCAGCTCGACATTTCATAATCTTTCTTAATTGAATGGTATTAGTCATCCAATGGACATTTCCAATGTATAGAATTGCCAACCTTAAGATTTTTTAAGAAAAATTTCCAAATTTTGATTTTAGTGTGTTTTATGCATTTTTTTTTTTTTAAAGAACATTTTTTAAAACGAAGTAAGCAGATAGATCTCAATAATTTTGAATCTGACCCAAAACTGACTTATTACGGCAGTCATCTAAATCCATACGTTACAAATAATCATGGATTCTAAGGACACAAACAGTTCGGGCACTAAGAAATTTTAAGTTGAGAAAAAGCGAAGATCAAGCAAAAATTCAAGATTTCAGCCCCGCACACAGCTCCAAGCAGGCTTTACCTTTCCCCTCCACTTCCTTCCGAGTAGGCAGAGGCTGTGTTGATGCTCAAGGCATGGGGAAAGGGGAATGTTCAGCTCAGAACTGAGTGTAAAGCTGAATTTTCAAGTCCTGATTTTGAAATTTTGCTCAATCCTTGCAGGTTGTGAATTTCAATTCTTCCTTACTGAGCCGTTTGTTCCCCCAGAATCCAAAACCTTTTCTTTGAATGCAGAGTAAGACAGCTAAATTTAGTACACCAATTTTGGATCAGTATAAAATTGAGATCTGTATACTTATGATAATCAAATCTAGGGATTTTTTCTTGAGGAACCTTGAAATTGGCAATTTTAGACAATTTTTAGTGAAATCTAAATTTCAATACCATTTTTTGTTTGGGAGGTATTGAGGCATAAAGGTTTTATTTTTAAATCCCCTTGGGGTTCCAAAAATTGGGGAAAAGAAGGACTCTAGGTAACGTGAGTAACTAAATGGTTCAAGAAAATCTAGAGAAGGGGCTCTAGAGAGAAAATCTGCATCACTCTCTTTGATTGATATTTAGATGATTTCATGAAGAAGTAATCTTATCAGAGTTCATTAGCATTGACCTAACAATTGTGTAAATAGCTCATTGACGTGGATTTGTTCAGACAACCATATATGATTGTAAAGGTTGATCTGATTCCAAAAATTAAAATAATTGATAAGATGATCTTACTTTGACACGTCTTTCTATCGATTTCTTGCGCAGGATGGCCTCAATACCACTATGCTTCTGATATCTATTTAGGGCTTTCAGTTTCTGATAGATTTGCTCTTCTTTTAGAGTCAATCTTGGTTGAGAGTGGATGTTCACTGTGAAAGGAAGCAATAAAAATTAAGATAAAAAGACATGAAAGAACAGAGGCAAGCATGGGGAAAATTCTATGGTGATGATAAGTAGAAAAAAAGTTAAATGCATCATGTATGGCATCCGATGAGCCTTAGTAATTATCATAGGATTCCCTTACTAATGGCTGATACCTGTGGGAAACTTTATGAGAAGAATAGTGATATCATTAAAGAAACTCTTGAAAGAAATTTTTTGTGACTTCTCATTGGTGAAACCCCCAAACCACGAATCTCATTTGTCGTGTTTTCAAATCTCTGTTTGTATTTCAGTTTTCTTAAGGAGTACAAATCAACATAGTTCCTTGAAGTTCCACAGAATTTCCTTTACAAAGGGACGAGAAATAATAGATATTTTTATGAATTGATGTTGAAATTCCCATTGAAAAATTAAAAATGACAGGAAGTAGGCAAAGTCATAAACAGAGATACATGGTTTGGAAGTTTCACAGTCGATACTCGGATTTTTACAGTTTTAATGGCAGTTCTATGATCACTTAGTGTGGAGGAAAAAGATTCTGACAGTTGTGTGTTCTGAAAATAAATCTTTACTTAATTGAAGAGAGAAAATTTTAAACTAAGTAGATATAATTACTTAGGTTCAACTTTAGATAATTCTCAATGAAAGAGGCAATATTTCCTTTGCTTCTTTCTTTCGACTGGATTCTACATTCTTGTAAATGGGCACCTTCTCGTTAGAAGTTTAAAAAAGTAAAATAATAAATTGTATTCACGTTACAAGAACGTGAGAGCCCTACCCTGTAGAAAAGGCCACAACAAAAAATCGCTAAAGTTTCTCTCGCATGATGTGACACTACGACAAATCTATTGAAACTGCCTGTAGAATGGCAATGAAAAATAAATTTCATTTTAGTATTCTTATTGACTTACTGAAAACTTCTTTCTCCTTCTTCAAATCGTGCAAAAATTCTCTCCTTTTTTCTCTGAACACATATTGGAGTCTTTTCAGCTGTTCCATGTATAGAGCCTGTAAGTTTATCATTTTCCCTCGTGTGATTTCAATGATTTCTTCTTCGGTGTAGACACCTGCATGCCTAAGGGAAAAAAGTAAACAAAATTAAATATCCTATTTAAACAAAAAATAAACACCTGAGATTTGACAAAACTTATGAAAAATTGAGGCTAGACAGAGGTTAGATCCACAATACCTTAGGGGGAATGATGTAGCAGAGAGTTAAGAAACTAGGTATCAGTGAATAAAAAAAGAACGCAAATTATTTACGATGTAAAACTGAATTGAGGCAAAGAAGGCACGTGGCCCATGCAGGTACATACAAACAAAGTTGGTTTTGAATTTCTATTTTTTGAACGTTTTGGCTTATAATTCCCTCTCCAGTGGTGTGAATCAAATACTTTTGAAACACCAAATGAGACCAAAATCAAGGTGTTTGCAAACTTGGAGGAAAAAAAATATCTGAATTTTTCTTGTTTTCCCAGACCAAAATTCTTTAACATTGCACATCAACAATTAGGATATATAGAACTAAAAAAATGAGCGATATTTGGCGTTAATTGCTCTGCAAATGATAGAGACATGTGGACCTTTCCTCTTCAGATATTAATTATTCAATTGATGTAAACGAACACAATAAAATGGGAAACCAAGGAGAGAAAACAAACAAAATGCCTCAGACATGAGACGAGAGAGAAAAATTACCCTTAACTCTTACCTCAGTGGCTCATCTTCAAAACTTTCTAGACTTTCCGTACCCGGTGAAGTGTTTGAGTTGGCATCAAACCAAGGAGGATTGAGGTGTGCAGTTTCCACATCGGAGTCAGAGTCACTAGCGTAGTCTAGCACTTTGCTCACTTGGGCATTTATTGAACTTGCATCCAAGTCCACTGGAAACATTAAAACGTCATTTAGAAATACTCTTTAAAAAAAGATCTTTTCCTTAATCATAAAGAAAGCGACAATATTTGTGATTCAATTAAAACTACAATGATGGAATAAAAATACAAACCGAAGACTAAGGAACAAAACAGTCTGACTGACAATTTTGGCGAAAATGAGTTTGTGACTTTGCCGCATTCTAAATTATAAAATATGCAAACTGATGATTTCATTTTTTCTAATTCCACATGGAAGTGGTTTAATAACACTATACTTAATGGATAGAACAATTTGCAAATCACAAAAATAACGAATTTTCTTCATCCTGTAAAATCGTCAGTTTGCAGGTGGGTGGAGTCCTTTGCTCCTTAGCTATCGATAGCTGCATTTCTAATTAAACCACAGTGCATTTAATAATTAAGCAAGTTACTTATCAAGATGAGGAGGAGGACAGTCAGAAGTGAGAAGTCAGCTCCATGGAAAACTTGAAAAGCTGGAGAAGGCTCATAGAAAGTGCAGAGTAAATATTCTCTTCTAATAATATAATACACTGATGACTTAAATTCATGAAAAAATGCATTATGGACATTGGAATTAAAGATCTATTTATTGATATTTTAAATAGCATTGAGTAACTTTGAATTAAAAAATTGATGCTTTAAAGGAACTATTGCAATTAAAAAAAATAGTGGCAACTCTATTATACGAATATCGATGGCCAAAGTGTGAAACAATGTATCTCCCTTTGCAGCGTCCCAGACTTCCTGTTTTACTTTACTTTTTCTTTGGAAAACTAGTTGACGTAATTTTTTGAAAATTTGCCTGATTTTTCTTTTCTGTCAGCGGATTATTCTTTAAGATTTAAACCATAAAGCTTGCTTGTTTCTTTTCAAAAAAATAAAATAGAAGTGGATATTTTGAAACACCACAGTAGAGATGTGCCATTCCACACTTTGGCCATCGATATTTAATAATAATTCAAAAATGTATTTGAGCATGGGACTAAGAATTGGTTTCCACAACCCAAATATCTGTCAACAAAGATTGGAAGATAATTAATGTTAGGAAATAATAGAAAGCTTCCAGAGCATAATCCTTTTTTGAACGAGTGGATTAAAAAACTGGAAACTTTATTTCACAAGTTGTGCTTAAGAATCTAATCCAACATAAATGGATACGGAGCATACCAAATGGATTTAGACAGTTCTGTTTCAGAGAGGATTCGGAATCGTCCGGCATGGAATCTTGGAACTCTTCATCTTCTTCAGCAGACCTAGTATCCGAGCTGCAAGAACTAAGGTTATCTTTGTTTGAATAGTGAGCAAGGGATAGGAATAGAGTTTCCATTGAGCTAGGTGGTGCTTTTGGTCGCACTGTTCTCAGATTCGTCATCCTTTCTTGACTGCTATGCCCCTCGCACAACCTAATAAATGGATTACAGCAAACAATAGCCAAGTTACTTATTACAAACAAGAAGGGATGAGAGAATGAGTTAGGAATGAGTTGGGCTAACAATAAGCTCACATGGTATCATAATTCTGATAATTTCCCTCTGAAAATACACTGTAACCTAAATTTTGAGACCAGGTTCTGATCAACTTGTAAATTAGGCTGTATTTTTGAAAGAACTGATTTCTTCCTTTGGCACGTGTAAGTAGCTACTACATAAGCAAATAAAATTGCACAAAATAAAATTTTCAGGCTATGTTATTATGTGCTTTAGAAAAAAAAAATGTACCACTGCACATACATATCATAATTTTTTAGTGAAAGACACAATTCTTCCAAAGGAGAGGTAACCTTACCGTAACACCAACTGGGAACATTTGATGTAATTGGCTTGAAACACCATTCACACTCGTTACCCACCCGGGTCCTTAAGTTATAACCGATTGAAAAACCAATATTTATCAAAATGGCTGAGGAGATTTTACACATAAGTTACAGAGTATATTAATAGAGCTTATAAAGACAGTGAAGATATATAATATGAATTCTACTCAGCTTTCATGGACAGTAAAATTGACACCCCAATACACAGCCAGGGAATCATACTAATTACCTACCCTGACAGTGTCCACATCACATAAATTTACAAATCTGCAGATGAGACATAGGGTCAATCATCTTTATGATTGCATTTACTTTCCATGCTATGATGGAAACGGCAGATCTTCTCTTTCTCATGCACTCATACAGCACAAAAGTCCGCTTTTTTAAAGAGGACTCAAGTTCTAGCATAAACTTTACTTGGTACGGAAACATCCAAAAATAAAATTCACTGATTGAAAAAGTCACCTCCTAACATTGCTGTCTCAATTTGAAGGCTAATGTGAAAATAAAGTTCTGGTACTTATGTTTTAGGGGATAAAAAAGAAAACTTGATTAGGTACATTAGAAGTTACAAATTTGACAGGGAGGAAAATCAATAGGGCTTGAACTTCCTCTGAAGAAATGGAGTGTTCAATAAGATACTAAAACTCAACATATTCTAAAGGACAGAGTGTGTAAAAAGATAGACTTTTCAAAGATGGTGCTGGATTTGAGAGAAAATGGAAATAGACTTGTAGGTAACCATATGATTATCAGTGAAGGTAGTTCTAAGAAGCACTTAGCATTCTGTGGCTTGGTATTGCCCATTACCATTAAACGTTCCTCAGTAATGTAATAATGGATAAAAGTGGAGCAAAGTGATTACTGCAAAATTTGAAAATGATGAATTGATAAAAAATTACCCTTTATCGCATCGTTGTGCTGGCTGAGTGCAACGCTTATTACTTGTAGGGTAAATGTAACTGCATGGTTGAAATGGAGCTGCTTTGTCTTGCAAAATGTGCTTCTTACAGAAGTTGAAATCTTTAAGAGGTGGCTCAGAGCAGGAATAATCCTCCATGGAACATTTCCCGTCAGAACTTGCCATAATGAAGAAATGAAAGTGTAGCAAGTCAGGCTTAAATGTTCAGTTGACGAGTCTTCAAGTTATCGTAAAACATCCTGAAATTATTCAACGCACTTAAGAAAAATAACATGAGATCCATAATGAAACTATCACACGAACTGTTTACACAAACATTAGCAAGAAAAGAACAAGAGAGTACAAAATACTAAGAGATGAAGAACATAATTTTCGGACAACTAGACCATTGCACAATTATCAAGTGTAAATACACAAACAAAACTAATCGATGTTGCCGTTTCAGCAACTATATTTCATATCAACACCAACTTACAACCAAAGGGGCTATTAGTTGATGGACGATGGACAATGCTGGATGCCTATTGGCTACAGAAGCCTAGTAAAAGCGTTCTGAATTTCATCAGATGATTGCGTTGTTAGATCTGTTGTAGATGATCATTGCAATCAATTTGTGAAACCAAGCTGCAAGAAGGAGCATATTATTAAACTGTACTTAATAAAATTAATTTCACATACTTTAGCTGTCATGATGATTTCAGGTATAATTTCTGTGGGTGTAAACTTTAGAAAATGCGTTAAAAAATTACCATTACTACTCGTTTTTGCTTATTTGCTTACGTTTTTTGTTGGCATGGCTGCTATACAGCGTTGTCAAATGTATAGTAATTATTCTTTATTTTGACGAGTGATGTGTTTTTGTTTTCGTCAGCCTCTGCCTCTGTATTGGCAATTCTACCAAGTACCAAGTTCAAAGTTTCTACAGTTTGCAGATAGTAATTTGTTATTCAGTTGAACAGTTCGACAGATATTAAGCAACTCTACCCTGTGAACATTTCAAAGCTTGTATAATATTGGTTCTTGCCAAATTCAACAAACTTCTTGCGTTAACCTAAAACTTTCGACTTCTCGTTCCAGTTACTAGTAATGTGTAAATTTGAATCTCCCTACTTTTTTTCTATTTTTTTGTAGTGTACAGGCTGTTTCCCTAATTTTAGTTATGTTCAATTCAATTTTCAGCCTAAGTTTTCAGTTTTCAGTATGCCGTGTTTTCTGAACCCCTCCCTGAGCATGTTGAATTGCATGAGAGACTTATGACAAAACTGTACCGTAGAACCCATTTTTTGGTGTAGCCCAGATTATCTTCGTTTTCTGCGTATTTTAATTTTTTATTTGCTTCTTTTTCTATGTCTATAACTCATGTCAAGTTCCTTGATGCTCTCTATTATCGGAAAGTTGGGTATGAACGGCTGAAGACAAATAAAAAAATGGCATATGATTCGTTAAGAGGGCGGCGAAGTTATGCCAGCACATTGTTTGTGGTAAATCGGAGTGTCTTGGTCCAAAAATTATCTGGTAGCTCACCAGAAGATCAAATCGCACTTTTGCTCGGCAGTATTGTTAAATCGGAAGATTTTCTTGGAAGCGATTACACATCAATCAATGTTCTCGATCCTGTGGATATCAGTTCTACTGATAGCTGGAAGTGCTCTGTGGATGCTTTGACCCCAATTACTGGAGCCGTGTTCCCTTACATCAAAGCTATTCCCTCACCTGAAGATCGGGTCAGAATCGCCTCTGACCCTAAGCTGTGCGCAAAATTGGCTGGCTTGCAAATTAATGATGTGGTGGAATTTTTCTTGCCTGATGGTCTGTTACCTCACCTAGCAGTTGTACAAAAAACTAAAGTTACCTCCACAATTGGCCCTGGATTGTATTTAGAGATTCAGTTCTTGGTATGGCTCTTGCAATATTTCTTTACTTTACCTTCCAACAGTTTTTTCCTAACTAAAAGCTTAACACCTGTAGATTCGATGTTCCATTAAAATGTAATACAATCAATTAGCACTAGTGCTATTTTAATTTGCTAACTTGAGAAGTGCAATAAGTGGTCAATGTAACTGTAAAAATGGCAAATCTCTTATTACATTTGATTTGATTCGACTCCGTCTGTACTAATTGCTAGAATATAAAGTCAAACTAATGTCCTTGCTTAACTACAGATTTTCACCTGCTCTTCTTACAAACTCTTTATGGCCATGCCAAATTCTAACTTTATATTTGATGTCTCTTCAAGGAATCTTTTAATTTTAAATTATTTATCTTCGGTCCCCTTTTATTGTTCCTAGAAAACATATTTCATCATTTTCTTTTACCAGCTGTTCTAAAGTCTTAGAGTAGATGAAGAAAACTAGATGGACGAAGGATGGTGCTCAGTTCAGACAGTTGACCCTCTTGTTGCAGTTTGTTCAACTGAGCCATTTCATTAAACTAGTTTTAGCTGAGCTAAGTAAATCTGATTTTTCGAGCCAGTTTTGCAGAAGTGAGATATGCTTATATGTACTTAGCAGCTCTTTTACGAGTGTTCGACTAATGATCGAGCGTCTGAATTGGGCCAATTCTTGCTAAACTCTTACCATTATTCACCATTTCACCCTCCTTACTACCCATTTCTATGCTTGATTTTGCACGCTTTAGGTTTTATTTAATATAATTTTTAATTCATCATCTTAAAACTTGACTTGAGGATATATCACTTTTAATATTCTTTGAGTGACATCGTGAAGTTGTATCAGTCTGCAGAGTGAGCTTTGGAGCTGACTGTAAACACAGACAAATTTTAAGGCCATAGGACTCCATTTTCCTATTTCCCTAGTAATTTGGAAAAAAAACTCTATTCAGATCTCATTGAACCTATCAAAAATTATCATTCTTTACAAATTTTCCTCCTGCAACCTGCCTTATTTACTATTTTAGCACATTACTGTTTTCCTACCTAAAAGCTGAAGTGGGAAGTTGCTTCGCAGGATTCCCAAGTGTGAAACTGGTGGTAGTTCAGTTATCCTACATATCCCATTTAAGTGAAAAAAAATTTTCTACAGCGGGGAGGGATACTCATTACCTTCAAATTACCAACAAGGTTAAATTATCACTCCAATTGTTTCCCAATTTTAAAAATGATCGTGCAAATTTAAGTTCACTTGATTCTGTAGCTTTTAAGTTTGCATGACATCAAGGTTTTTGTATGAGACCAAATTCACACCAATTAGACTTGCAAAACCTTGATACTTCCTTTCATTTGAGAATATGTCAGCTGCAGAATCCAGCTTATTTCCAATAGAACTTGAGAGGATGAAGGAGGATGAGGTGCAATGTTTTAAACCCTGCTAATTCCATGCAGGGTTTCTAAACTGCCAAATTAAGTTGGGTGATCTCTTGATGTGAGTGGTTTTAGAAGTGGTAACTATGGAAATCGGATATATTGTCCTATCACCTTAATTTCTGTGCGAATTACAAGTCCTCCTGCCGAACTCTGAACTGCTCTTTCGACTAAGGAAAGCAGAAAATACTCTTGCTAGCTCTCATGACAGCTAATGGATTTTTTCAGCTTTAAAATTGTGTGTGTATACAACCAGTCATGTGCCAAAGTAACATTTACTTATTTCATGAATACCATCAGGAAAAGTGTGGTGTAGAACCTTAACAGAACATCGGAAAATGCCAAGAATATGCAAAATTGGGGCTAATCTAGCCTGGTTTGAGAATTCTCTGGGAAAAAAAAAAAAAAAAAAAAAAAAAAAAAAAAAAAAAAAAAAAAAAAAAAACTGATCCAAACCAAAACTTTGTATCAAAGTCTCATTACTAGAATATGTAAGCAGCCGTCAGTCTTATTACTAGTCATAACTTATAATGTGATGAGTTTGTAGATAATTATTCATTGAGAGCTCTTAATTTTGTGGCTTTTTCAAGATTTTCAACTTTTCCCTAATTCCAAAAGATTTATTTATTATAGGTGTAAGATTTTTTGACTGTGTAGGTGAAGCAGGAAAGTCCTCATCAATTAAATTTTTTTTAGCAATGATAGTGTGGCTGTCATGGTTGCCAGTGACAATGGCAAACACTAAGTACAGTAAAATTTCTTCAAAGGATTCTTAAGTATTCCATGAAATAAAGGAATTTCTCTTGGATCTCTAGTTCAATTAACCTAATCTCATCTTTACCTACTTATATTTATTACCAGGACCCGGATTCCGAGCCGAATCTTGATCGAGAGGATCTATTCTTCAGGAAATCTGAGAATGGAATTCTTGTCTCTGTCGATCGTATACGTCCTGTATCAGTGTTGAGCAACACCAAACCTCAAGGAGATGTACCAAGTTCCAGTTACAACTCTCTTCCAGTTGTGAACTCGCTTAAAAGGAGAAGCGGAATAATGTCATCCAAGTCCAACGCCTTATATTCGCAGTATGGTTCTAGTAGGAAATCTGGTAAGTATCAACGTAAGTCAGTACTTCTTGTATTCATCAGGTTTTTAATGTTTCACCAAATTAATGGCTATGGTCAAGAAAATTAGTGTTACTCAATTTTTAGCGTTTTTCAAAAGGCCTCAAAAACCACCATGTATTCCATTAAACTTCAGTATCACCTTGGAGTTTTTACATCTTAAAAAAATATCTGTTTGAGAATAGTATAGAAAGGACCCCTTAGAGAAGGTAAGAATATAAGCTTTCTGATATTCGTTTCCTCCTCTGAATTTCACATATAACACACAAGTTTGCGTGGCAAAAATTACTAAAATTACTCCTGACATCATATGGCTTAAATTCGCACTTGGTTCAGTGATCCAATACAGTTACACCTGGAAGTTCAAGGAGAAATGTTCCATCTCTTCAGTGCCACCTTAGAAGGCTTTCAATTTTAATCCTCCATTGCACAGGTCCTATTGTTAAAAAAAAAAAAAAAAAAAAAAAAAAAAAAAAAAAAAAAAAAAAAAAAAAAGCCGTAATTTTCCAACAGTTAATCCAAATTTTTCCACTGAACACATTAGCCCTTTCCAAAAAGGACAAACAAGAATACAACCAATCTGCTCAATGCCATCCAAATGTATTTACGTAGTACTTTGAATGAATTTTACTCTATTTTTTTCCATTCTAATTTTATTTTATGCTAAATTAATTAGCTAAAAATGTAATGATATGGGGCTCTTGTAATTACAAAGAAGAACCCTTTGTTTTCTCTCTGCTACAGGAGGAACGTCTCCCATTTCTTCGTTTTCCATATCTACACCGGCAATGATTTTAGGGAGGGGAGAGAGAGGTTGTTCAATATCATATACTCTCTGAATTTAATTTTTTGGCTAGATATTAAAGATCTGAATTTTACTCATTTGTTTTCAAGTGCTCTTTCAGCTTGGAACTGATCAGCTAGCATAACATTCAATGTATTTTTCAGGTCCATTAGTAAATCTCAGGCAAGGAGAAAATGTTATATGGATGAAAGATGGAAAACAACCCATTGATTGCAGTGTGCAGTACTTCATACCGAATGCTGAAAGTGCCAGTAAAGTCCAACTGAAAGTGGTGAGCGTTCTAAACTTATTACAATTTCAAAAGGTAAAATCGTAAGCTAATTAGAAATTTCTAAAATTCACTCCTTTATGCACATTTTGCATTGGCCGTACCACTTTTTTTCCAGTGTACTGAGTCTGCAGGCACTTTTCTCAGCAGATGGGAATCAAGTTGTCCTATAGAGAGAAAAAATAGAGAGATTTAGTTAATTGTGGCTTGTAAGTAAGTATAATTGAATAATTTATAAACTGTAAAAAATAGAATTGATTGGTTGGGTAACTGCAGGATTCATTTAATTTGACCCTCCTTGTTTTGTCCCTGCAAACACTGATTTTCCCTTAATTCATGACTAGAATTTTAATATTAAGCGGAAAATATCTAATGTCTAACAACACCTTCTCGAAATTAACTCAAACCTCTTCACTCCTAAGAATTCATTTTGCATTTTTTTTGTATAAAATTTTCATAATTATGATTGGAGTCTACAAAATGGCTATTCATTCTTGTTTCAGAAAGGAGCATTAGATACAAGCAAGGAAAAGGGGTTTGTAACGGTCCCTATTTCAGAAGTATACAAGAAAGGAGACCCGATTATGCTTGGTAAGTTTGTAATGTCATTATAAAAACTGAACTTTTTCATCACATAATCACTCATGAACGGTTTCACGCAAGGCTTAAAATTGTCTTCAAAGGAATCTTGTAGGCTTGACTGCATCTATTGAAAGGAGGAAACTGCAAGACAGCAAACCTGTACAAACCATCCCCAGTGTTGTACTCTGCTTAAATGATACGGTTGCACGCACTTTTGTTCAGAGAGAGTATTGGTGATCCTGCCAACAAGTATTAAATTTAAGTGTGAAATTGCCATTTTCATCATAGAGAGAAAAAGCTCATCAAAACACAAACATCCTCTCAAGAGAGTTATGCTGTTTGGTGCAGCACCAATTACAATGAACCAGTAATAAAACTGCTGACATGTATTGAGTTTAATTGGACCCATCATCAGTGCAGCACAGCTTCCTAATTTTTCTGCTACCAAATTCAGAGAGGTTGCATAAATGGACGCATTTTTGTCAAACGGAACTAAGCGCCATAGGGAGAGGAAGGTAGAGGGGAGCTTGGATTGGCGGCGGAACCGGGCATCGGGCTCATTCCGTCCTATACTCGCAATGCTTTTCGATGGCGCTTAGTTCCGTTTGACAGAACGCGCTATCCGGCATTCTAAATTCCTCAAAAGGAACTCAAATTGGCGCTTAGTTCTGTTTGACAGAAATACGTCCAAATCAATTCAAGGTTTGAGCATATGGTCACGGAGCAAGCTCCTCCTAGTGGGTGAATTAAATGCGTTATTCATTATTTCAAAGGAAGTCAGATTTTTGGCCTGGCTGTCTCATCTTTCGTCTCTCAAGACATACAAAGTCTTTAACCTGTTTTTTTTTTACCATTTTCCATGGGTGATAGTGACTGTGAAATTATATTGTATTTATTTATTTATTTTTTTTGGCAAGTATGTTGAATACATATATTTGCACATTTGCCATTTGTTAAGGTGAATCCAGGGTTCGATTAGGGATAATTCAAGATTAGAGATAGCGCCACCAGTCACCACTGAGAATTTCACTTTCCTTCTACGATTACTGAAATAATATTCCTCAAATTACAAAAAGCAGATCCACAAGATATAGATTATTTTTTGCTTGATTTTTTGAGCCAAAAATATTGGCAGTTAGAATTACAAGTGCAGAGAAAGTACGGCTGAAACTTTCAGCTCAGAGCCGGCGGCCGAGCGCACAACCGACTCTCTCATGTTCTGTCTCTCTCTCTCCCATTGCCGCAATGGGCATTACTTTCCGCCGTAGTTATGACTTTATTTTTAGGACTTTTAAGAAGATTTTCTTACTGAATGTTCCTCAAGTATGTTGCTATATCCCGTGGATCCCCAATCTTGAATAAGTATTACGGTTTTTATTATTTTGGCAAATATATACGGCTATTCTGAGCAGCGCAACGTGGTGGCCAAATCGCTAAGTTCTGAGCCTGGATTCACCTTAAGGAAAAAAAACTAAAATTTCTCTGCCTACCAAGCACTTATTTTTACAGTGAAATTTTCTAATGCAATTTTTCTGTTAAGGCAAAAAAACTCGTTCATGAAAAGCTCAAGATTAAGTTGTTTTGTTAATAAAAAATATATTTTTAATTACTTTCTCATCTTTCATGAAATGAACTTCAATTCTTGGTGAAACATAATTTTTTCCTCCTTCCTTTACAGATAAAAACGGTAAAGATGCAATGGATGGAGAGGATTTAAGACTGAGTCGCAGTAACAGAATTTCTTTGAATGAAGTGAATAGCAAGCAGCAGAAGTTCGAAAGTCCAGCTTTACGACATTCATTTCCAAATTCGAAGGATTTTGAACATTCCATGTTAGATAGTGATTTATATTTTCTAGATTCAACAAATGTCAGCACTGTGCACGCAAAGCAAGCCAAAATAAGTTCCTTGCTGGATAACTCTAACAAACATTCCACAGTCGCCTACAATAATAGTATGTTCAATTTTATATTTCTTTTATCTTAGCAATAAAAGAATGAAGATTTTTACCAACTAATGCTGTATAAAAAGTGACATGGGCTGTTTGAGCGAAGGGAATTCTAAAAATATTTTTTTCTGAGGAGAGAGAGAGAGAGAGAGAGAGAGAGAGAGAGAGAGAGAAAAAAAACAAATTCTCTAAATCTAAATCCCAAAAAAGTAAGACCATATAGCGCTTCAAGTGTAAATTAATTCTTCTAAGCCATGGATAGTTTAGAAACTATGATTTTACATGGAAAATGAAGTGTGTAAAGGCTGAAAAAAATGAACTACTTAGGAGCTGCAATCCTCTATCGACCCGTTTACTGAGTTCACATTACTATCAATTTTTATCAAAGCAAAAAAAAAAATAAAAATAAACAAATGAATAAAATGAAAAAAGATGGGGAAAAATATCAACCGTTATTTGCTCTTGAGTTTTTTGTGCTGACTCCTCATTGACATTAATCTCAAGATAAATTGGAAATTCGCAGAGTTATGACAGTGAAATATATTTTTTAGGGGGGCCCAAAGTAGGGGAAGAAAAAAAAAACAAAATAACCCAGCAATTTTCCTATTTTCCTCCCCTCACATAAAAACTTTGAGGTTTTCCCAAAAGTTCCTCTCAAAAGGCATGTTTTTCCAAACAGAGCCCTAAGCTTTTTCAGTTGGAAGGCCCTTAGATTTTCGCTGTAAGTTCTTAAATATCCGATGATCCTATTGACATTTTTTGAATAAGCACTCAAACGCCATTCATTTTTTTTCTTACTGTTATGAATCGTTGTGATTTCTCAGGTAACATGACTGTAGATGGCCGAAGGCTCCAAAAGAATGCCTGTCAAAAAGTTATGCATAGCAGGAGAAATTCAGAAGTTACGAATGAAAAGACAGGTAGATCAGGTGGATACTGAGTTGTCAATTACAAAAAGGAAGTGGGAAGTGTGAAGAGGAAGCGAACATTGGCAGAAGGCAGGAAAAAGTGGAAGTTAATTTTAGGTCCCAAAAGGGGGGAGAGGTGGCTATATTTATCCTCTGGTGAAAATAGCTCAGTCTGGCATTGTGTCTCATCAGAGCTACACATATTTAGTGACTGCTGCATTTTCCATTTGCCCAACTTTACTTTCACTTTTTATCATTTCAATTGTTGTCTCATCCTATAACTATTTATTTGAATTAATGAGGTTAATTGATTCCCTATCCCCTTTAAGTGCCTCAGTGTTTGAGTGTCATGATTGTTAACATTGAAAGTTGCTGCTTCAGTCCTTTAGTATTGATTGAGATGAGTTTCATCATTCCTAACCATTTTATGGAGTGAATTATTTAATTTCTCTGCAGAGAAAATGGCCATGTACTCAGAAAATATTCCAATACCAGTTTTAGAACTTTTTGGATACATCGAGAGCAATGATGTTTACGGCAGTTCAGTACGGTCCCAAAGTACGTCAGTTCATAATAATATTGAATGACCATAGTTTTATAGTTTAAGCTCCAAGTTGATTTTTTAGATCTTTAGGTCCCGTATTCCAACTTCAGGGTAAAATTTTAAGAGCCCTCTAAGATGGCGAGCCTAATTTTTAGGAGAAATACATAATTCCCCAGGGGTCAAAATGATCTTTTTGGTATGTATTATCATTCTTGGTGCATGAAACTTTACAAGGGGTGCTAATGAAGGAAGAGTTTAAATATATAATGGGATTGCTGCTCCAGAGTTTGCGGCAGGTTGCATCTGATTTTTTTAGGCAACGTCTTTGGATAAAACTCAAAAATATTTTGTGGGCATCAAAGCCTCATTTTTGGGCGCATGTTGAACATAGCGTCCAGTAGAGTTAGAACATCGTGTAGGTTTGTTCGTTAATGATCTTCATGAAAAAATCCTAGAACCAAACCAAGTATGTTAACTCATTTTTTTATGTCCAGATTGTCAACCGCACTTTCCGTCCGCAATTCTAGATGATGACTCTAGTGATGAAAATGGCAGCTGCGGATGCTATGACAATGTGGCAGATCTGTCTGACTTTGATGCAGCCAACTCGGAATTCTCTGTTGGTTCCCTTGTTGTAGTAGATGTAAAAGATAGGCATCATTATGGCGTTATTCGGTGGATCGGGCCAGTAGGGCCTATCAAGGGAAGGCATATCACATTTGCTGGAATTGAAATGGTTAGTGTTTGGTCAATTTTTATTATCTATCCTGCTGTGCAAAAATCTACATGTTGCCGTGTTTCTACCAGTTTTAAATTAATTTAATGCTCCAGCTTAAGATGACTGTTGCGGGAAAAACCACTCTATCATGCTGCTTAAATCGGACCCCAAAGTCAGTTTTTATTTTAAAAGTTTGTCAAATTTGTTCAGTTTTGATACCTACTTGAGAACTTAGGTAGCATTCTACGAAAATGTGTAAAAGAAGAAAATGAGCTTCGAAAAATCTCATGTAAATGCTAGAAATTTTTAAGAATTTCGCTTTTTGAGCTTGACAAGTGTGAACTGCTATGCTACGAAAAATGGCCACAATTGCTGCGAGCGATTTATCATGATTGGTTGCTCCAAGGCTAATTCGCATAATCTTGTCTGAGAGTGCTATAATGGAACTGCTCATTTTCCAATCAATATGAGTAATTTTTCTGTAATCTAAAAAATACAAAAAACAAAGTGTATTATTCAAACTGCCCATTATCTTTACATCCTGACAAACTCTAGAAAGAAGAAAGGCTCTTTTAAGAGAAAAGGAATCAAGTTTTAATAATGCAAAGATTGACCATAACCATCAAACATGACTATCACACCCCCCCCCCCAATTTATTATAGCGGCAAATTGGAAAATGATGTGGTTAAATAAAGTAAGGGTTTACTGTGTTTCTTCATAATATTTTGTACAAGGAGAAATAGAAGTTCAGCAAGCAGAACAAGTTTTAAGTTACTGGTTCAAAAACCAATTAAGTTTCAAATGAAATATTAAAAGACTCTTCTTTCTCTAAAATAGACCTGTAACTGTCCTCTGTAATTTTCCTGTTTTTTCTTTCTTTCTTCATATCATAGGAAGAAGAAGATGATGAATGGTCAGATGGCAAGATGGGAGATATTCGGTATTTTCAATGTCCTCCAAATCGAGGCTTCTTTTGTCCTCTTAGCGAGTGTCAAAAGGACACGCGGTTTCTTGATGATGTTCCCCGATTTTCCTCATCGTCAGATATCATCAGGAGTAGAGGTAGGCATCTTGGATTTTCTTTAGAAGTAAGTTGAAATTTTTAGAATGAAGGAAGTTAATGTATTTTACATACATTTAATTCCATAGCTAAAAAATCAATAGCAATTCGAAGTACAGTGGAAATCAGCAGTCAAATGTTGTTATAACCGATGCAAGAATACATTGAATCAATGGGATTTCAGCGGCAAGACAGACCAGAGATGACATCGGTAATCTCTGGAAGTTACATGTTTGCTCAAATCCAATACTTGCTTAAACTTCCTTCTTCTACTCTGATAATTTATTTGAACTCATCCACTTTTTTTTTCATGTTTCTCCAGAGTTTGGTCTGCCTGTGATCCCTGGTATTGTGAAGCCCATCAACAAAGAGTCGGATATTGAGTCAGTCTGTGGAAAAAACAAAGGAATCCAAGGACATCATAACTCGTGTTATTTAGATGCCACCCTTTTTGCAATGTTCACATTCACGAGGTTAGAATTTTCTCTCTTCCAGAATTAGTGTGAATATAACTTTTTATCTTTCAAAATTTTTGGAACTACGTACATTTTATTTCCAGTTTGTAATACTGTTTCTGAAATAGCTTTAAGAATAGCAAAAAACAACATATCTCGGAGATCGGCTGATCTCCTTCATGTTTAAAAAAAAAAAAAAAAAAAAAAAATAATATGTTCGTATATCATAGGTTCTACTCAGTAACAATGAATTGTGGGGCATAAGCGGATATTTGGCCAGTCTCCTAATTCTTCACAAAAACGATTTTCCACAATATTTGCCCTTTAGCTTTTGCTCTCCTGCAGACTGCATGTAGGATTAAGCCGAAGTTAAGCGAGATGTTATTTCAGTGTGTAGATAAGTATCTTTCTTCCCTCTCGGAACAGGAATTTGAAATTTTAGAAATATGGAGAGTTGCCAGCTTTTGCTGTTTTCTGCACCTTTTTTAGCTCAAAAATCCTTATTGTTGTAGGGATGATTCTTAAAAACAATTATAATTGTTTCTTTTTTTGCAGTGTCTTTGATAGTTTATTGTTTCGACCTCGGACGATTGCTGATATCCCTGAATATGAGGAAGTTCAGAGGGTACTCAAAGAAGAAGTAGTCAATCCTTTACGAGAAAATTTGTACGTGAGGGCGGATAGAGTGATGAAACTTAGAACGCTTTTGGACAAGCTAAGTTCTGTGTCTGGTCTCACTAGTGAAGAAAAAGGTACAATCTGATATTATTTCTATGACTCTAGCAAGCCGTTTTTTGTCAATCAAAATGGCAGACCCCGTGGTTTTTCTCCTTCCTCTGTGAGATTTGTTTGATTGTCTCATTAGCAATGTACATATAGCCTTTTTTGTTCTTGACAAGGGTTGCACTGCAAGGAAAAATCATGCAAAGTACTTAGCATTCACAAATAGTAGCATTATGACAGCTCTCATAATTGATTAGAATTGAATTTTAATGGAAGCTGCATTAAATTATAAAGGAAATTTTATTAAGAAGTATAAACTTCTAAAACAGCCTCATAACAACTTTCATCATGTTCAATGATCTTTTTTTTCTTTCTTTAAGTTTCTCTAATTTTAAATCTTTCAAATGCGCTCAGAACCCACAATATTTCCTTGGTATTTATAGACAGAATGAAAGTCTTCTGCATTTTGGAGAAAACTAAAATTATTCAAGTAAGCTTTTTTTTAAATCTGTCATTTTTTTAATCTGTCATGTCTTTCCTCTCTGCAGATCCTGAAGAATTTTTGAATTCTTTGCTAGCGCAGATTCTGAAAGCTGAGCCCTTCTTAAAACTGAGTTCCGGTCAAGAAGCATATTACTATCAGCTTTTTGTGGAAAAGGATGAACAGTTGAAACTCCCAACGGTCCAACAGCTTTTTGAGCAAAGTTTTTTAACAAGTGATATTAAATTAAAAGAGGTACAAAATGCAAATTTATTTTATTATGAAAAGCTTAATTTGTCATTGAACCAAGGTCATGCTCTGGCTGAATTAAAGTCAAAATCTTATTCGACTTATTTTCTTTAAAACCCTCTGATCCTTGAATCTGAAGAGTGTCGAGTTGTACAGAGGAAAAAATGGTATGAGTGGAGAGGGCTATCCTACAGACCACTGTCACTGAATTTTTTTCTTTTTTAAAAAAATCTGTGAAGATAAAAATGTTTTTTGACTCAAAACTAGGAAAACTATCAATTAATATGTGATATTATGAGTGACTAATATTAACAATAAAACTTGAAAAGTGTGTATCTTGGTTTGCAACATTGCAGACTTCCTGTTGTACTTTATCTTTTGAATGGAAAAATATCCAATATCATTTCTTGGAAACTTATCCAAGTTTACTTGTCTGTGTGAATTCAATAATCTATGAAAATTTTGGTAAATAGTGGGAAAACTGGGAGTGGAGGTTTTGAAATACCACAAATAAGGTATGTGCTCCAGCACTTTCATCGGCTTTATGTAATCAGAAGTGGAACAAATAACATCCAGCTTAATTGAAGAAAAATACTTCTAACTGGCTACTCATTATTTTTAATAGCTTAATCAAGGATTCGTTTTCTTTGGAAAAGACAGCCAAAATGCCGAAAAAGAGATTTTAAACTTTGTATTTAAATAAAGATTACATTCGAATACTTTAGTACATTTTTTTGAATTTCAAGCAAACCTTGTTCTCATCACATTTTCATCATTACAGGTTCCTTCGTGTTTAATCATTCAAATGCCGAGGTTTGGCAAGTCCTACAAAATGTATCCCAGGATTCTTCCCTCCCAGTTACTGGATGTTACTGACGTAATTGAGAATTGTGAGTTAGTGCCCACACTAAGCAGTATTTAGAACAGTATCATGTATTCATGTTCAAGTTAATTTTGTTTCATTTGTTTTATTTCCTATCGTCTGACAAGGAATTTTTTCGAAATCATTTTAATTTTGTTACAAAACTGAAATGCTTTACTTGAATATACAATCCAGCATTATTGTGGTAAAAAGGCTTAACTTTAATATTTTTGGCCTGTTTATTGCTGTCACCATTATAAGAAAAAAATCAAATGCACACAAAACTTATCCAAAGTAAAAAAAAATTGGAATTTAATTACAGTACTTTCTCTCTGTAACGAGAACTTGAGGGACCGGCCGATTTCCTCGATGTAGAGAGATTCTCATTATAACGATTGTCGATATTTAATATAGGAGGTTCAAAGGACCGACCGATTTCCTCGTTGCAGGGAGATTCTGGCTATAATGATAGTCGTTACAGAGAAAAAGTAATGCACTTACAGTTTTTTTCACTGCTACACTGCCTTACATCATGAGTGCTCAGTGTCAGTGTCTTGTCATCTTAATTATTGTGGCCATTAAACTTTTTCCCAAACTTGACTTTTGGGAAAACAACATTTCATTGTGTTTTTGTGATTAAAAAAAAACTGCCACATAAGTACTTATATTTTATCCTAGGTATGCACTCATTAAAGGATGTATTTATTGATGCCTCTAAGAATAAAAAAAAAAAAAAACAATCTATGTAAACTAAAAATCCTTAAATTCTTTTGAAACTGGTAAAGATGAGCCTGTTTATGTATTTATGTGAGCATTTATTTATTTTTTTTCTTGCAGCCCCAAGGCAGTGTTCTGTCTGCGGAAAATTAGCTGAGTACGAGTGTAGCAAGTGTTTTCGACTGTGTGAGGAAGGTTTGCAATGTACCGCCTTCTGCACAAAGTGCTGCGAAACGGTAGTTTGCTTTAATTTTTCTCCTTATTTTATTTTGAAAATACTTTACTTTACAATTATCAAAACTGAAAAAAGTCCATGCTAATAAGGTAGTCATCTTGCAATTCCCAAGACTCCCTCAAAAAATTAAAAAAATAAAATAAAAAAAAATTTAAAAATGGCTGTCTAATGAAATTATCGAAACTGTCATCAGGAAAAATTTGAACTGGATTGAAACCAGGAGCTCAGCAATTTTTCTTTAATTCATGGCCAAAGTGTAGTAGACCTTGTAGTGCATATCTCTGTTTGCAACGTTTCAAGCTCCTGCCAGACTGTAGTTTTATTTAGAAAACCAGTGAACGAGATTTCTTGAAAAGTTCCTTACTTTTTCCTCCGTGTCAGCAGAATATTCTGTATATAGTCCAAGCTCTAAAGTTGGCTTGTTTTTCTTTGAAAAAATAAAATGGTAACAGACAATATGGAACAATGTCGGTTTCCCATTTTGGCTAATGATGTAACTACAGTTTATTAACACTCTTGATATAACTGTGTGAGGCACATTTTTTCAATAATAATTTTGAACTGTTATCTTTTAGGCTCATAACCATGAAAAACGAAGGGACCATACATATCGGAAGTTAAATATTCCATCTGACTTGTGTAACTTGCCTGATCACTTCCCTATCCCTCGACTTTATATGGAGCTGTTTGCCGTTGTTTGCATTGAAACATCACATTATGTTGCTTTTGTTAAAGCTGGCTGTGGCAGTGATGCGCCATGGTGTTTTTTTGATTCCATGGCTGATCGCAAAGGTAATCTTGCATTTTTTATTTTTCCATTTCAGTACATCATTCTTTGCGTCTCAACCTTCAGCCAATACACTGCTATTATCAAATAATGGCCAATTGGAAATGCAATTTTTAATTTTACTTTTTTAAGAATGGTAGTGTTATTTCTTAATAGGGGGGCAACGGTATTTCAAATGATTAGTTTAATCAGAAAAGAAAGCTGTTTTGGTGTGACATTGGTTTTATGATCGATGGTGGCGGTGAGAGGGGAGAGAAATTATTAAAGGATCAGCTGAATGGGAACAAAAGTAAGAATAAGAAAAAAAAAAGGCTGAAGGAAAGGGAAGGAATTGAGCACTATCTTGTGGAAGTAATTTACAAAACGTTCTCGAAACATGATTTACAAATGCACTTGAATGAAGGAACCAAACGAATACGAGCCAACAATCAAAAACCGTGTTTTCAAAAAGAACTTTTAAATTTTGTATGGACATACTGAGTAGACTGTGCCATGAGGGTATTCGGTCCTCGTGACATACTTCTTCTATTGAAGGATGCCAGGTAGATTTTGCAGTACACTTTCGGTTTGCACCATAATGTATTTAATTTAAAAAATCAATTTATACGCCCTTCTTCGGGAGTTGTTTTTGGTTGAAAAATAATGTATGAATCATCATAATCATGCATGATTGATGTAAGTGAAAGATTATTGGCACTAACTAGAGTCAAAGCCAAATAGGTTTAAACACTTTTAGAGCAACAGAAGATCCGCCATCTTGATTCTTGCATTTACTTATAGTGCTAAACTGATGTCACATGATCTGCTGTTGAAGTCTAAACATGTGTAAACTTATTTGGCTTAGACTCTAAGCCGAATAATGCCAAGACGGAATTAGCACCTCCTTCTCCCTCTTAATACACAAAGAATCATTGTAATAATTGCACTTTGGTTGATTTCCATTAAAAAATGGTTCAATGGTAAGAAAAATGTAGCAAGTTTATGAAAAAGTTTTCCAAAGTTTCGGAGCTTTCATCAAAAACCTCCAAGTTTCTAGTCTAAGTTGCTCTTCTACATAGCTCTTTTTTTTCCATTACAGGGGAACAAAATGGTTACAACATTCCGGAAATGGTCTCGTGTCCTGATTTACCCTATTGGTTATCAGATAAAGGCTCAGAAGTACTGAATCATTTCAAAGACGAGCGGCACTTACCTGAGCCGGCTAAGAGACTTTTATGTGATGCCTACATGTGCATGTATCAAAGTCGGGAGGTGATGATGTACAGATAGGTTGGCTAATTTTTCCGTTTTGTTGTCATTTCTTGAGGCAGCAGTAAAATTAGGTAGTTTAACTAATCAACGTAAGATATAACATTAAAAATCAGCCTTCAGGAAGGACTATGAGGCTCTCAAATTCATATTTATGGATTGAACTTCTTGTTTTGGTGTTTAGATGAATGTATGAATTGCCCAGTCATCATTCCTAACTAGCAAATTAAAGTGCCATGCATTGAGGAGATTAGGTTTCTGAGAGGCAGTAATGCACCAGAGGTAAATCTCTCTTGTAATATTTTGTAAATGGTGATGCACCTGAGGAAGGGGCACTAAAGATAATAAATATATAAATCAAGAAAACTAAATTTACATATTAAGGGATTAATTTCTAACCATTTGTTGCAAGAAAATACAAAAAAAATTCCAAAAATAAACTTTTCTGGAGTATTTCAAAGTTTGAGAATGAAGAAGGAGATTTAGAGGAAGCACAGTTAAAGTTTTAGAACAATTTTACCCAGCAAATCTGGTTTCTACATCACTAAAAATGAATTTTTGCGCAAGTAATGACCTCAATATTATATAATGAACTCAGACATCCTTTTATATCATTGTTTGTAAACAAAAGCATAACCTTGCTACCAAGCAAGCATTTGATAACAGCCGCCCAGCTCAGTTGAGATGGAGTCCTCACCTTTGCCACTTTTGACTCCCTCCATATTAAATGCTTAAACATCTTTAAAAATGCCTATTAAGGCCTTACAGATTGAATTACATGTTCTTTTGGTGTGTAAAAATCGATTAGGATCTTTAACTGAAAATCAATAATTTTCAGCAAAACTGCGTTTTTTCGCTCTCTTGTGAAATTTGACAGTTCATGTGAAGTCCCCTCTTCCTCCGGTGTATCATAATTACCATTTCTCACATTGAGAAATACTGCTGCTGCTGTTGTAACTGATCAATGGAACTATCATACATGAAATTAAGAGTTTACTTAGCTAGTTTTCAAGTATGAATAATTGGTAGTTAGGATTTGCAGTGAAGTTTGATGTGAGCAAGAACCATCCACATAGGTCAATCATTCTCTAGAACGAGTTTTAAATTCTACTGCACAGTGGCAACAAAGAATGTAAATTTTATGCACTTCTTTTAAGATCATTCTAGGATGCAAGTCGATTTTATGTCATGAATGCTATAATAGGGTGGAGCATTAGATCCTAAACAAATACGTGACTGACCTGTTTGGATTGGTCCTGGATGTATGGACAAAAAATTCTACCTGTTAAAGGAGATTCACGTATTCAAGATTTTTTTTTTTCATCAAAGATAATGTAAAATTATCAAAAGCTCTTTTCGGTTTGATAATTTAGTGTAATTGAACACAAGCTTAAGCATCCAGATTGACCAGAAGATGTATTTTAAGTTTTCTAACTGGAGATTGAAAAGGCCTTTGAAGTACTGCCACAGAACTTGAAAGTTGTGTGCCCTTTTATATGAGTCTCTTAATACGTAGTCTGTCCTCTTATTCAAAATTTAAGTCAAAGCTCTTTAAAATTCGCTGTTTATTACTCTCCTCTGTGTAGAATGTGATGTCAAGACCACTTACATCAAGAAACACGAATTATTGCTTTTTTGCACTTTTTGCATATAAGAAGAAAATACTGTGAATTATTTTCCCCTTTCTTGACAAAAATAACTACATATTTTGATCGGCATTTTGTAGATTTCGTAGATTATTGCATCTAGTTTTTGACTGCTGCTATTGTTCTTTAGTTTTAAGGAAAAATGGTCCAGATTTTTATATTTTTACTTTATTCATAGGAGGTTTTTGACATTGAACCAAATCCACCTTATCTTTTTTGTTTTGCTGTTAAAATTTATGCTGAGAGGTTATTTTGGCATTATTACTTCTGTAGGGTTTCTATCTTTGTCAAAACGTTTACTCAATCTATCTTTAAAATTGGTTTCCATTTTTGTTCGTCCTCATAAAAAGTCATTTTTCTAGCAAGTCTACAGCAAGCCTTAATCACTGCGTAGTCTCCTCTTCCTCATGGTGAAACTAAGAATTTCTCACTTTGGAAACTGATAGGTACCTACTATTCTGTAATAGTGAAGCCTCATTTTCACCTGTGAAAGGCAAGGGTTATTTATGATGTGACACATCTGTTTGAAAGGGTTTAATGAGCTGAAGTCATATAAAATAAATGTTGTACTTTTAAAATAAAAATGGCATTATGAAATTTTCTTAATTACAGAATACCTATCTACATGAATTGCACACATTGCCACATTTGCCCCTTTGTAAGGTGAGCAAGCAATAACAAAGGTCTGGGAAACTCAGCAAGATGACTTTCTTTTAGATGGCTAAGTCCGAGAATAGTTAATTGGACATGTTTATGCTAAAAAGAACTATGTCGCATGTAAACCCTATGATGTTCCTTTTAGCTAGCCCCTCCCTAGTTCCTTTTAGCATGAATACATCCAATTATTCTTTGAAAAGCTGAGAATGTCGTGAAAATAATTACCTTGCAAGACTTCTACATCTGTCTTGATTTGAAGGGGGAAGACATACCAAAAAGATATAACAATGTTGGCTATAATAATGGATATAAACAATGTCAAAATAATGCGACATTGTAAGCAATTACCTAGTTGCGTCCTCAGGTGCTCTTATGTTTCCTGATTAGGTGGATTTTCTTGCTACTAAAGTTGAGAATATCATTTCCCTATTTTTGGGGCTGTTTTGATGTACTTAAATCTTGAGAAATAAAATAGATGTTCATCGGAGTGAAAAATTTTGCATTTAGATAACTGCAATGCTTGAGTTAAGGTGTTACGCTTTTGTGAATGAGATGCAATATGCCTTTGATTTTCAGTCCTGAAGGAAAAGTAGCCCAATATTTTGTTGATCAATTTCTGAAATCCCTAAACATCACAGCTTTTCCCTAGGTTTCATTAGCCATGAAACTGTCTAAGGGAGTAGTTCTTTGGAATAAGTTGTTCCTAGCTGGGAACAGCACCATATCTGTTAGCCTTAATGGTAATTAATGTACTATACAGGGTGATCCAAAAGTCCCACACCTCCCCTGTAACCTGCAAGTTCTTGCCCCTTTTAAGAGTGGTCTCTTTACAATTTTGGGGGTTTCCAAAAGTCGTTTCCTTTGACCTAAGAGCACTCACAAAATTTCAGGTCTCTATCTCAATTTGATCAAAAGGTGCAGGGGTGATACTTGGTGCTGCTGGCACCGAACTTTTGAATCACCCTGTGTGCAGTATTTTAATACTCATATAAAGATGGTCCACTGTCTTTTTAGAAAAAAATTGCTCTTTGTCTCGTGCTGGTGCCCTAATATGTAATAATGTTGCTGTTTTGTGATATTACTTTTTTACTTGTCAAATATTTATAAGATGCATGGTAGCGGTTCTCTAATATGAGTACTATTTATTTTTCAATGTAAGTTCATTATAAATGCTGCATATAAATGCACAGTTATTAATCAAATGTCCAGTTGTGTTATTGGCCTTTGGACTTGCCACATTGTAAGCAATTTGGATTGAATGCAAGGTTCAACTTCCATCTAAGACACTGTCAATTTTCAGAGTTTTCAAAATGGACCTTGAGAAATATTTTTCCTGTTATTTTTTTGTCTTGTTAAAAGTTTGAGAGTTCCCTTAGAATTCAGATTCTTCGTGTATGATAATTGTTGAAAGATGGTTATGTTTTTATGAATTCCTAATTAATTTGTACGAAGGTATTAAAAATAATTTATTTCACCCTCTTATCTCAAATACAGTATTACGTAGTTCTTGTTGAAATTTGTCTTGTTATTTTTACCCATGCGTCACCTACTTTGTTTGACAAGTACACCGTATACCCAAAAGTCTCAAGTCTATCTCTGTTCCACCGATTATTTTGATTCTTATCAGATGTCAATGTAACACCCTGTTGGTGAAAGTGGTGCTTGTAGAAGAAAATTTCACGAAGAACCAATGAAATCACTTTTAGAGCTCAAAATTTTGTATAAACGGAGTTAAAAGCTTTTAAAGTTTCCAAATTTTGTCCGGCCTCTCCTATTGACTCGATCCACTGTGCGCCGGTCGTTTAATTTAATTGCAATCCATACCTACGCTAATCGGCGAATGTCCCATACTGACAGACTGCGACTTTCGACTGATTTTTCGAAATTTTGAACGAAACTCAAAAGTATCAAAACAATTTTACGGGTTATGTAAATAAATATTTTACATAATTATATTTTTTTTCTCTCGCTCGAAAGTTTATAATACAAATTTACGAGCTCTTCAAATGTTGCTTTTATACATATATCTTCTTGGATGTGCGTGTCGCATATCTAGAATTTGGAACGGCCCGAAGTTTCCCTAGTTCGGGAGCACAGAGCCGGATTTACCTACTTGCCGCCCATGGGCCGCCTGTATTTTGCCGCCCCCCTCTCATTCGTTTTGAAACATCAATTAAAACCATCAAGTGAACGTGCCAGCGGGGGTGGGGTGCATAAGACGCGTTTACTCGTGTTGGAAACATTTTTTGGGAAAGCCCTGTCAACACTACTAGCAAAAATTCACCGAACTTCGCGCGGACGTTCAGTTTCGTAAACCTATCTCTGCGTGGACAAGGCCCTCCATTCATAAGAAATGAACGAACAAATTATGAAAGAACAAACATAAATGTGGTTTAATGACTTTAACTTTCGCCGCCGCGCCACGCAGACCGCACCGTGTTTTAAGCAATGCGTGAAGTATTCCGACAGTTTTGTAGGCGCTATGAGTTTCAAGCCGACGACCGCTGCTGAACGTAGTAAGTTTGACGCAATGCGTGAAGTATTCACGCAGTCTTGTAGGCGCTATGCATTTCACGCTGACCGCATTGTGTTTGGCGCAATGCGTGAAGTATTCATGCGTTCTTGTAGGCGCTATCCGCTTCACGCTGACTGTTTTGCGAACTGAGAAGAAGTTCGTGGCGTTTCTTGACAATTTACATTGACGAGTTTCTCAAAGAAGAAGTAGGTTTAGTATTTATGGTAGTAACTCTGCATTTTTGCCAACGGATATCGATGGTGAAACTCAACCAATTGTTTGGTTTCCATGGGCCCCCTTGCGACTCTGCTCACACTGTCTCTATACATGCATTCTAACCGGACGTGGAAAAGCGTGGCTCATTAGGAGAGTTGGCTCCGATTGAAAGATGATAGCGGTTATCAGGCTGGAAATTGCTCCAGTGTCGCGAGCGCTCGCGGTGTCCGAGAGTAAGTAATTATTCCGAACAAGAAACACCCGCGCTCAACTAGAGCGGACAGCTCAGTTTTTCTCCGATTAACCGCTTCCACATCCATAATACAGCATCCATGCAGGCAAACTTTCCTACAAAAGGATCGTTGATGGAGAAGCTTTTCGGAACCTCACATATATTCATCGGAGGCTATGGTTTGAGCTTTCCTCAAACCACTTTTCCGAAAACACTTGTTATTGCCGATTCAGTGAACAGGGCCGGATTCACATTTTTAGTGCCTCTAGCCTGGACTTCGTCTAGTGCCTCTAAAAGTAGATGCTATCTCCAAGTGGCATTTTTCAGCGGAGAAATCACGACATTTGAAGTTGAATTGTGATTTTTTCACGCATAAAAATCGCATTGCCGATAAAATCGCTAGGATCATCAATATTTGAGCGATTATCCTCAACCTTGTCGCAATTTTATCTCTATAAAATTGCGTCAGAAAAAATCTAAATTTGATCACCCTTTGATGATCATTTGAACATCACGAACATGTTTCATTTTTTCTAATTTTGCTATAATATTCCTGATAAAAACGACCATGTTGGTGAACGAGACGTGTTTCCACGCTGCCGCTAACATGGAGACTTTGACGCAGAGAAGAAAAAACTCCGCGGGCCCCAGCCCAGAAAATACTGAACACACGTTGATTCCTCTCTTAATTACGTGTCTCTCTTTCTGTTGATGTCCGCATTCAATAATTTTGATGGCAATCTGCGCGACTTGAGAGCACGAATAGTTGCACACAATTCTCAAAAGGAGACATAAAAGCTTTGCCAAAATTTTTCCTCTTCCAATACCGGGGCCCGTGCCGTGCTCCGATTTGCGCTGTGTGGTATCCTAAAAATATAAAAAACCTAAAAAAAACCTCTAAAAAAATTGATGGATTTAACGAAACAAGCTTGTGACATTTCTGTAACTTTTTAAATTGTATTTAAATCAACTCTTTGACAAGGGCAACTCAAAATTGCTCTGAAGATGTATCAATTTCCGACGACAAGACCAGACCCCGGACCTATTCGTCATCGATGGGGTATCTCTCTGTGCCTACTCCCCAACTCGCCCTTGATGAAGTGCTCTACTAGCCCCCCCCCCCCCCCCCCCCCCAAAAAAATAATAATAATAATCCCTAGTCCCACCTCCGAAGTAGCACAGTGCAACAAAAATATTGAAATTAAATTGCAATTTGATTTCAATAAAATTTTACTTTTCTACCATTAAATTTCAATCTTTTTACATCATATAGTCGATTAATGCCGAATTTAAACAATCAGCAAAATGAACTCCATGTGTTAGAAAGATAGGCAATACGCAATGCAATGAAAAATTGCAACTATTTCAATTTTATCGCAATAAGTTTCAATAAATGGGGCCCCTTCAAAGAGGAGCTAGGCAACATACACAACACTCAGTGAAATTGCACTATTTTAAGAATACAATTGCCACTTATTGCAATCTGTGTTTCTTTGGTTATGTTCACAATGTCGCTGCGGCGAGATTTTTCCCTCACGGAAAAGGAGAGGTGTTTTCCACGCGAGAGTCGGCAACTTCCAGTCGGACGTCACAAAGCTTTCACACTCTGCGAAGAAAATGACGAGATCCGATTTTGCGTGCTTTTAATCAGGTAGCGTCAAGAACAAACAGAGCACCCGTTCGGATAATTTCTCTTTGTCGAACCGCGAACGCAATAGCGTTACTCGATTTGCAAGTGAGCCCTCAAAAGTATGGGTTTATATGAAAGATTGCGCTCATTCCAAAACTAGGTTGCGCTCTTAGAACGATGTCCTCTTCAGCCTCCTCACGCATGGATCCGGGGCGACTAAGAATTAGATGCGTTTAAGATACGTTGAGCACTAATCTTGGGTGGGAGATTGGAGAAGCGGGCCAGCAGGGCACCCATCATGCCTGTTGGTTCTCTCTGGAGACATCTCGTGTCTTTTAAGTGATGCTGCGAATGCTGGAATGATTGTTTTGAGAGGTGCCAAGAACGCAAGGGGCAGGTTATTTAGTAGATCAGGGCCAGGATTGAAGTGCGCCAGGCACAATGCGATGTAATGTCAGCAATGCAAGAACGTAACAAGTGTTTCAACATTTTCATTCAGTTTGTGGGGAAAAAATAGACGTATCAGTATTTAAGCCGCTACAAATTTTCGATCGATTTACCTTTTTTTCCCATAAAAAGCTAAGATATTAGCATGAAATATTACTTCCATATGATGAAATTCATTGGTTAATGAAAAATGAAAATTCATAAAAAGTTTTCAAGGGCACTGTGGACATGGCCGGGTTTACCTACTTGCCGCCCATGGGCCGCCTGTATTTTGCCGCCTCCTCCTCATTCGTTTTGAACCATTAATAAAAACCATCAAGTGAACGTGCCGGAGGCGGAGGAGTGCATAAGACACGTTTGCTCGTGTTGGATACATTTTTTGCGAAAGCTCCATCAACACTAATAGCAAAATATCACGGAACTTTGCGCGAAATTTAAGTTCCGTAAACCTATCCCTGTATGAACAAGGCCTTCCATTTATAAGAAATGAACGGAACAATCATGAAAGAACAAACATAAATGTGGTTTAATAATTTTAACATCCATCCTTTCGGCTGACCGCACTGTGTTTGGCGCAATGCGTGAAGTATTCATGCAATCTTGTAGGCGCTATGCGTCTCGCGCTGACCGCACTGTCTTTGACGCAATGCGTGAAGTATTCATGCGGTCTTGTAGGCGCTATGAGTTTCACGTCGACTGCTACTGACCGTACTGTATTTGACGCAATGCGTGAAGTTTTCATGCAGTCTTGTAGGCGCTAATATGTGTTATATGCCGACCGCCGCGCCGAGGGCTTTTCCTTTTCATCTCAAGTCCTCGAGTCATCATTTCTCTCTGCACCGCGCCGCTCCATGCCAAATTGCGGGTTTGGTTTCTCTCTTAACTCGACTAATTAAAGGTTCAGTCTCATGTATCACCGAAAGACGAAAAAATTAGCATTTACTATACTCTCAGGGAAAAAAGATTTTTTCGCCTTTTCTCGTTGGTAGTTTTTTTTTCTTAATCCGATTTTTTTTATACCTACATTTAAAAAAATTGCAAAATTTGCCACCCCCCTAAATTTGCCGCCATGGGCCGCGGCCAATGTGGCCACCGCCACCGCCACCCCTTAATCCGGCCCTGATTGTGGATTAGTTTCCCTCGTAAATATACGTGAGATGTGAAACAAGGAAATTTGGAACGTTGCAAAACATCGAGTTAAATTGACTATTTATTTGATCCCTTGAGTCCTTTCTCGCGAATTTGTTTATGCTTACGCATAACGCTTTGGCAGTAATTTTAATTTTTCTCCGCAAAAAATCAGGATACGGAAAAATTACGAAATCAGGATTTATAGCAGTCGAAAACCAGGAAAAATCAGGACTTCATTGGGATTTCCCAAAGTGAAAAAAACTATGCACCTTGCGAACAGTGCAGCCAAACTATCGTGTCTCTATCGTTGACAAAAACACACCGGCAACATCGCGTTGACGTGACGGCGACGCCAGAAAGCATTTCCTTGCGCGAAAAAGCACACGCGGACGAAGAAAGCCGAGAAAACCAGCCGGGCAGACGAAGACGCCAGGGGAGGGAGGGGGGGGCGGTGCGTGTCATGCACCATATCTCGGCCCACCTTCCATCAGGTGAGAATGTATAAAGTGGAGGGCCTCGGCGCGACCGGGTCCATTGTCAAAGCACCCAGCCCAGCGGCGGTCATGGAGTTACGCGCGTTTCTGCTCGGTCTGTGCGCCCTCGGAGCGTCGGGGCGGCCCCAGAGCGGGGCGCAGGCGGAGGAGCCCTCGGGGCCGGGGCGCCCCTCGGACTGGAAGTTCCTGCGTCAGGTGTACAGTGAGTGCTTCGTCGGTAGCGCGGACGCGTTGGTGTGTCTCAAGCAGCGGGCCGTCCGCGCCCTGGACCAGGCGGCCAAGCTCCAGTCGATACCGTTGATCGATGGCTTCTCGCTCACGAGAACGGTGAACGACTCGGCGCTCCTCGACGAGGATCCGCAGCTCGACGCCGGCGACGCCTTGCCCCGGGACATGGACCAGAAGGACCGGGCGCTCGACAACATCATCCTCAAGAAGCTCGAGCGCTTCTTCGCCGCCAGATCCATCACCGTTGACAACAGTCACAATGAAGGTCAGTCTCGTCTTCTGTGTCTTTATATTTTCCTTGCTTTCAATGCGCCTTTGTAGTAATTGAGGTAGAGACTCGAAATGTTTAGAGTTCTCCTAGGTCAAAGTAAACGAATTTTGCGGATTCCCAAAATTTTCAGGGGACCACCCTGAAAAGAGACAACAACTCCAAGGGTTATACAGGCGAAACTTTTGGATCACCCTGTATAATGATATAATTTCTAACCTCTTTTTCTCCGTTCGGTCCTGAAAGGCTTTGGTTCCTCTCTAATGAACTTTCTCAGTTTGATACATCGTCACCTTCCGGCCAAAGTATCACAAGCTTCTTGATGTGACATTTAAAAATTTCCGCCACTATTTTATTTTTTTACAGAGAAATTGTCGGCTGAATCTGTTTGAAAATTTCATTGAATTTTATCAGTAGCACAAAGAAAATTCAGTGAAATTTTCGGACAGTTTCGTTAAACAATTTCTCTGTTGAAAAATAATATGGCGGCGGAAATTTTTAAACGCCGCAGGCGCTTGTGATACTTTAGCTGGAAGATGACGATATATCAAACTGAGAAAGTTCATTAGAGAGGACCCGAAGCCTTTCAGGACCGAACAGAGAAAAAGAGGTTTGAAATTATATCATTATACAGGGGGATCCAAAAGTCTCGCCTTTATAACCCCTGGAGTTGTTGCCTCTCTCAGGGTAGTCCCCGTAAAATTTTGGGAATCCGCAAAAGTCGTTTATTTTGACCTGAGAGAACTCTAAACACCTCATGTCTCTACCTCAATTACTACAAAAGGAACAGGGACGCTGCCTAATGCTTGCGGTGCGGGGTTTTTGGATCATCGTGTTTTACTATAAGCTCACCGATCCCCCCCCCCTCCGCCCATTTTAATTTTTTTGTCATAATTCGTTCTACAGGATTGTTACTAACAGAGTCCTTAGGTGCGCCCGCTGTGTTGAGATTTCGGAAATATGATCCACGTTTTTTTTTGTTCTTTTTTATTTATTTATTTAATTATCTATTTATTTATTTATTTATTTATTTATTTATTTATTTAAGTATTTTACGTGATGAAGTTGCAAGTTTTCCCATTTACACAATTTAAATTTTCATTTTTTTCCACAGCTCGGTCTAGATATTTACCGAGTTGATTTTAATGACATTTGCGTCGATAGGAGATAGTTTCTGGGTTCAGATTAACTCACGATCGACGGTCCGCGAGGTAGGCCTTAATAGACACGAAGTGGCCTCAGGGGATGGGTAGAGAAGCGACAAGGGAGTGTACCCTGAACCTCCTAGTGCCCCTACCTACACTCTGTAAAAAATGATGCTATTTTGAAACCATAAAGAGATCGAGTTAACTTTGAATCAACTTTTAAGTCACTTTCAGCTTTGGGATTTCTTGTAAAATACTTGCTGCTTTCAGACTAAACCCGTAATATTTTCCCAGAGTAAGTTCTGTGCGTGGATACCTGACTTAAACATTCGAATCTTTTGTTACATTCTATCATTCCAAATAAAAAAAAAAAACTGCTAGAATGGTCTAAAGTTTGGATTGAAAGAACTCTCCCTCAAACTTTAGGAAGAACTTGTTCCCCATGCTTTTTATTTCTTTCTCCTCTTCTATTTATCATTTTCAATCTCTAAGTAAGTGTAAGAGGTAGCCGCGTTGAAAGAAGTGAGATGCGCTCCAAACCAATGAAAATTGAAATTCATTAAAACACTCAAACATGGTTGTTTAAATGATCCACTAGTAATCAGTTAAGTATGTTTCCAGCCGCTGACCTTGATCTCTAATTTTTTAAACGGGCTGAGGGTCGGCCTGAGAATCTAAGCTAAAACTGATCGAGTTAGGAAGCCCAAGTCACTGACCGATGAGCTGGTAATTTAATCAAATAACTTTTTTTCCGGTTGGAAATATTTTTGTTCACCTGGATTCCAACCGCAGGAGCTCAAGTGAACATTCACCCAATCAAACTTCTTTATCTGTTGCCACACTCGGAATTTTAAACTCCTCTTGCGACGTTTTTCAGATTAATTAGATTTATGAGATCAGATTCTAAAAAAATGAAGTAAAACTCTGAATGTCAGAGACATCATGCATTTTATATTAATTTCAAGTATGCAATGATATTTTTACCACCGAGTTTTTTTTTAATTAAATAATTTGCCTTTATTAATTGCTCTTCATAGCTATATCCTCGATTCCTTAAAAATCTACTCATCGTGTGAATTGGGTTTTATACTTATGTCTGATCATTTAAACCGATTATGGGCTCAAAGAACCGTGCAGAAACTGGGATCCAGGATATTTCTTCCCTATAAATTGATCCCTCCAGGTATTATTTTCCCAAGTGTTCATAAAATACAGCACTGCGCAACTCAGCTGCTTTCTTCATGACCGTTGATTTTGTAACGGATCATTTACGCACATACATGATTACCGATCGATTTTCTATGCAGAAGGCACTCTTTTTTGTATGATATTTGATTTGAATTTTTGTCACATATATGTCGTTTTAAATTTAATCTGAGATTTTGAATTAATTAAAACTTTGCTTGGCATACAGCCACTAACGACAACGAGTCTTAGAACACTGTAGCTCTGTGGGTTACAGAAATGAACTAATTTTAAAAAGATAATATTTTAATTTTGATCACAATTTATGTTTATCGTCCGTCTTAATATTGTAACCAAGATAATAAATTAGGTCCGCAAAACTTCTTAGATTTTTGTTTTGTTTTGTTCTGTTTTTCTTCTTGATATAACGCTACAATAATCCATTTAGGTTAATCCGAAGTTCCAGGAATAATACTTTTTTTTCTTATATTTTTTTCAAAGAGAATAATTGTAAACTAATCAGCTTTATAAGTATCAAATATAAATATGGTTGTCCCAAATAAAAGAAACCACATGATTAATATTTTTTTGTGCCAAACTTTTAATCAGTGCGGGCTCGAGGCAAGCTTTTCATCAGTCTCGTTAACCCCTCTGTGAAATAAGTTATCCATACACGACTAAAGTATGAGCCGAAGACCCTAATTTGTAACAGCTTAATACTTTCGAACGTAGAAACTGCGAGCTGGAACAACCATAGACTCTTTTACTCCGCCGATCGAAAGTGGCGATAAGGTAATGTAAAGAAGTGGGTTAGCTTTATGGAAGGCATATCGTCGTTAGAGCCGGTTGCGGGACTCTCAGGAAAATAATACAATCTGGAGTGAGGTGCGCAACAAGTGGCCGGGAAAATTTCCGAGACACCGTTGCCAAACCTTCCTGCGACTTAAATGAGACAATGCCTGTTCCGCTAACAGCGAACGGGTATACATTTTTCAGTCCAGGTACCCAAACTTATAAGCTCCAGAAGCTAGATTTCGGTTCAGATAATAACCGAAGCCTTCGGTGAGGGTTCCGAGTCTGAATATGGCTAGGGAACACTTTGGTTATCTGAAAATTGGTTGCATTGGAACATTGGTTCCTGGAAAGTGAGTTTTTGGATATTTGGTTTATGGAAAAATTAATACAAGTATCCCGTCGATTGATACCCCCCTCCCTCCTCCCTCAAAAAAATCGACATACTGACTACATGCGATACTTGTTCTTTAGTCGGCGTGGTAACTATTTTTTCATGGGAATGGAACGGAGCAAGGCGCTAAAAATGAAACTAAAAAGCAAACGCGAGTAAATTTTGCGGATTTCCTCGATATTTTGTGGTTTCAAATCATAATCGTACCCCATTTACTTGCCGCCCATCCTCTCAAAGAATTTTGATAGGAATGTGTCGCTGAAATTTCAAATTTTCCTATACTCAGTGCCAAATAAAGTACACTTATCAAATCTCAATATTAGTGATATGATAAAAATTCAGTAGTAATTGGACGTATTTCTAACAAACGGAACTATGTGCATTATGACATGAGCCCTGTTATGCGTATATTCTTATGAGTGCCAGGGCTCATGTTTTAATGCACATAGTTCCATTTGATAGAAATACGTCCAATTGAAAACACCCATATCTCAAAATTACAGGTTCAGTAATCATATGTATAAAAATATTTTTTAAAAACATTTTTGGATTCATATTCTTCAAAATTTACTGAGGCAATTGAAGTTGACGAAATTTAAAGACAAGTGTTAACATTGCATGTGCCTTTATTTCGTTTACAAAGGGGGAGCTTCAGTTTTGCTTCATCTCAATGTATTCAATTATAAAGTAATAAATAATATAATCGTATTAGCGAAACCACCAAATCGCCTTTCGCAACTTAAATGTTGAAAAATAAGGGGAATATGTTAGCATACAATTCGTGGGGACTCCGAAAGTGTTACTTTCCAAAGTTCAAGATTAATAGCACAATTTCCCCGGGATCGGCGATGCGGCGAGAAAGTAAGATAATTACACACGCAAGCCTTGTGTCACTTTGCGTAAGTAAGTGAAGCGCAAAAGACACGAGACCACTGGAAACAAAAAGCATTAGGTGCTGCTTACATATGCGACCACGCGACGTTGCCAAATTCCAAATCTCAACGATGAGCCAAGTCCAATTTTCACGGTAAGCCGCGGAAAAGTCGAGGATTTTCATTGGAAATTGTCAAAGCGAAGATGGCGCGAAGTTCAAGTGCGATCAAGACAAGGAAAGGGAAACTGGGGCTCGCGCATGGGTGAGCACGGACGCCACGGGGCGCGCACATCCACGCACGCGCGGTCGAGAAAAGCGCCGGGGAAAAGCTAATGTTTCTACCCGTGCGTTAAAGTCTCTCGATAGCATCGCGTTCCTCGCAGGCGAATCGGAGCGTTATAATCTTCGTCTTAACCTTGTATGAACAAATGGGTTGTAGATGAAAAGCTGGGCACCGGTTAGTGCTCATGGAGACTAGCTTGTAAGCTCGTGGTGCCGAACAATTAGCCGCCATTTAGCTATATCCAAGCGACTGTACAGGATAATTCAGATATCCCGAACCATCAGCACCAGGAATCATCCTTGTAACTCTTGAACAAGTCGAAATGGGGACTTGCAATTTTGTGAATGCTTTCAGGTCAAAGGGAACGACTTTTTGAAACCCTCAAAACTTTAAAGGGACCACCCTGAAAGAGGACAAAATCCCTAGGGGTGTCGCAGGAATTTTTGGATCACTCTGTATTTGACGTCTCATGATTCCCTTATGCGTATGCTTCATACTTTAATAGGAATGCTGATAATTCATTTTTTTCGGTTTATTTTTATAATTATGTTTATTGTAGCCTTTTATTAGAAATATTTACAAATAAAGGTAAAATAAGTGCATCGACTTAATTTGTTTTTCCTATAAAAACTGACCATTATCGTTATTGATGAACATTTTAAGTAAATGCCTTCACGCACGCAAGGATTTTCACAAAAAATCAAAGACACAGTTATGGAAGGTTTTTGATTAATACCAACCAAAATATCGAGGCAATCTTTGAAATGTTATAATATGAGATATCACTCCACTGTTAAATTTCGTCCACTGACCGGCAAATTTCATCCTCGCATTCCCTTTCCTCCTTTCTTTACTCGGTAACTTCGTTAATTTTTCCAGTTTCCCTTCCCATATAGATCTACATATTTTTTGGTACATCCAAACTTACAAGACTCCCCCCCCCCCCCCCCCCCCNAATTCCGAGTAAGGTACGCTGTCTCGAGATATTTTATTTGATATACTTTGACCCAGTCTTTGCTTGACATTTTCCACGTACCGATTTTTACTGACTCAGACGATGTTTATTTTGTAGTTGATGGACGAAAGAAAAAGGAGAAAGAGCTACACCACTACTTGATGATGGCAGCGGCGACAGCGGCGGCCATCTTGGGGCCCCTCGCATTCAAATCGCTGGCTATCATTGCGACCAAAGCCCTTGTGGTGAGCAAAATTGCCATCGTGATAGCTTCCATCGTGGCCATCAAAAAACTCTTCTCGCACCCGCATCAGGAGTCGGAGGTTGTCTCTCACCACTACGGCAGGAGCCTGCGACACGCTCCTAACACGGACGCTGCGCGACTTGCCTACAACGCCCACCAACCAAAATAGTCAGTCTTCTTTTATCAAATATCCTCTTCACTATCGAGGCTAGAAACTTGTCCAAATCCCTTGATGTGCGGCCTTCAGATTACCCGCAAAAGAACAAATGAGACTTCCGTGACTGAAAGAAAAGAGAAGCTTTCAAAGAAAATCAATCAATCAATCAATCAATCAATTTAAACCCAGCGAAAAAAGTGTATATAGGTAATCATCAGACGGCGAGACTTGTAACTTATGAAAAAAGTAATACAACCATCAACCGCCTTTTAAATTAATTCAGAAATTTTATTATTTTATCGAAACACGTCTTTAATTGTACAGATATGAGATAGAAGCAAAAAAGGAAAATGGTAAGTTTCTAGCCCCGGTATTACTCCTTTTTTCTTTTTTGCTCTTTATCTATTTATTTTTTGAGATTTGTCATATGTAAAGGTCTAATTTTAAATCTTGATAACAAATATTTATACAAAGGGAACATTTTAAACTCTATCTGGAAGTCTGCATCGACAGAAAAGACCTCGAGGTCTCCTGAGCTTCCGTTTAAGTCAGTGAAGCAAAAACTCGTGTGCAGAAGTTGAAAAATAGAGGAGCAAAACTTTGCCCCTTAAAACATAATAATAATAGATGTAGTAAAATCCTAATTAATCTGCCATGGCCGTTGCTTATTCGATAAGTGTTTTAGTCGATATACATTTTGCCGATTCCCAGCAAAATCCTTTTTTAAACTGGCATTCACTTTCATAAAATGTTCATATTATTTTAAAATCTACATAGTCTAAGTGTACTGAAGGTGCAATATAAACTTAAGAGCCTATCTTAATGGTGAGCTGTAAATCTGACCGCACACTGAGTAACCTCTCCGCCATTTGGCATGTGACTAGTCATTTTTTCTAGTATCTCTCATAATCAAACTTAAAACCAAAGACATTACTAGTTTTAGACGAAAATCAAAAGCTCACGAAAAGGGCACTGGCAAAATCGATATTATATAATTAGAAGAAATATTTAATCAAATTTTAAGTCTGCTTTTCCGTTTAATTTTCATGAAACCAGCAAAAGGGACACTAAGACTGGTTGACATGATTTCTCACCTTTTTTTTTTTTTTTTACATAAATTAGATAAAGCATATATGATATTTTTCAGAACATACTTAAAAGTATAGTAAAATCGCCTGCACCTTCAAAAATCGATACATTTACATCGGTTTAAGTAGAGAAAAACTGACAAATCTAACAATGCTGTCAGTCTCTTGATCCGCCAAGGTAAGGCGGTCGGCTCATTTCTCACCTTGCTGACAATTTCAAAAATTTCTTTACAGAGTCATTACACAGTACAACAGAAATTACAAATATAACTTATTGAATATAATGATTGGTTAGGTAATTAATCCGTTTGAATGGACAGACCGCTCATCTGAATTATGAAACTATGGTTTACTGAGTCATTAGATACCCAACAGATTAGCCAAAATAACGATTCATGAACAAAAAACTATCTAATAGAATGGTTAGAAAATTAAATGACCTACGAAATGCCTGTATAAATAACTGACTGACTGACTGACTAACTGACTGACTAACTGACTGACCGACATACCGACTGACTGACTGACCGACCGACCGACCGACCGACCGACCGACTGACTGATTACTTGATCGATTGATTGATTATCTGATTGATTGACCAACCTTCCGACCGACTGACTGACTGACTGAGTGACTGAGTGACTGACTAATTGTTTGACTGATTGATTCATTGACCGATTGATTGACTTACTGACTAACCCGTTTATTGAGTGACTGATTTACTGATCATCTATCTGATCGCTTATCAACCTGAATACCCAGTTATATAGATTTTCAAGCTCTACTATCGAGCAAAAGTATTCTTTTGAGTTCCGCCTTGAAGTCCAACCTCTTTTGTACAAGGAGTGGTAAACTCCTGCATTGAGTCTCGCATCTGCCAGAAATTCACTAATCAAACTTCTGTTCTTATTTTGTGGAGGTACTATGAGGAAAGTAACGGCTACGCGCTACAGGGCTCGTTTGTTTTGCAAACTGACTGACTGACTGACTGACTAACAAACTGACTGACTAAGTTCATAAATGACTGACTGACTGATCAATTACCTGCGAATTAATCAGTTGATTGGCTCGCTAGATGATTAATACGATGAGTCTGAAGTCTGCAGGGCTTAGAAAATATATTGTCAAATAAGTAACTTCAAGTGTTCGAAAGATGAACACACATCATAGCAAATTAATATACCTTGATGCATGAAAAGTTGAGCATCGTGCAGTTTTGACCGTAACAATGGTGAATACCTAGTCTTGTAACTGTTCAAAACACTTCGACTCGCAACAGGTTATTCACCTCTTGAGAATGAAATCTGTTCAGCTGCGTTGAAGGGAACGGAGTTTGTATTGACACAAGATGTTACGTGACTGTCAAAGTGGTTTCAGACCCAACACTTAAAAAATCACGACAAAAATGTTTCAATCCGACAAAATTGGTTTAATTCCTCAAAATAAGATTTGTGGGTAGCATGAGGGGAACTTCACATAGTTTGAACCAGATTTCTACCGCCAACTCGGTGAGGCAAAATGGGCAATTTCTAACTCAAATATCCTTGTACAGCAATCTTAGCAATGTCCTTGTTCAATGTTCACATGCAAACGTAAATTTTTGCAAGAATGCGGGGCCATAAGACGTTTCAAAGTAGTCGGTCAAAGTAGGATCAAAAAAAGGAGGAGTCTATATAGAATTGTGATATATTATGTATTCACGCATAGTAATACGGTACCTCCTTCAATTTCTTTTTTTCTGCCACCTTTCTTAAATAAATTGCCAAAAAGCCTATCAAGGAAAGAGTCTTTTGGTGCCCCCTATGTAAGGAACTTGGGCATTACGTTCAAAAGTGGCTTAAACGAAACCTCATGAAGTGACAACCCTCCAGTGAATGTTTTAGCTTGAGTTCAAAGCTCATTTTGACAGCGTTGCAAATTTTACATTTTTTACCATTTTTAAAGCCTGTATTTTAAAGTTCCTCTGTTGCATACGACTATAATTGATCCGGCCTCTGAACCCCCCTTTCACCCCCCCCCCCCCCCTCCGTTTGAGGTGTTTGGATCCGCCCATGATGGTGGATTGTTTCATCATTAGGTTTCGTTTAGTCAATATTTGAACAAAATCCTTGAATTCCCACAAAAAGGAGCACTTTTTTGACTGCATGCCTCTCTTAAACTTTTTTGACTTCAATTATTTTAGTTCATCTTGATAAAAGAAGTTACAAAGTCATTTAGCATGCCGATAAGTATCTAGTAATTTTAACGATATCAATATTAAGCATACTGATTTATGACAAATACTTTTTCCAAATTCATAGAGGTTACTTTGATATTACAATGTCAATTGGATTACATTTTGCAATAAGGATTCACCATTTCTGGCCCATTTTAGAAAAAAACATACACTCCATTGGTTTCCCTATGTACACATGTGCTTTTATGGGAGAGCCAAAGATAGTGGTTCCTTATTGCCAAATTTAATCCAATTCTTTCTCGCTCTGTGCTTTTCCCCTTTTTTCTATTGAGTTTAACAAAAATGGAGAGAAAATCGCTATAATTACAGGCGTAAAGAGTCAATGCTTCATTTTTGCCTTAAAATATTACACTGGTTTTTGGGATAATTTCCTTTCCGATCTATTCAATTCACGTGGAATTGCTTACTGAATTATATTCATCAGACTTAAAATTTGATTAAAGTTAATTCTGTCAGTTCATTATGTAAATCGTTAGTTTAATTGTTTTTGTTATTGTTATTGCTTATCTGTAGATTGGTTAATTTATTTCTTAGTTAATGTGTTGAACTTATTTCTTATTTATTTGATTTTCAATGAAATGGTTGGAATTGAAAATTCTTGGAATCCTAGTCTCAACCGATTTCGGTTTATGTTTCTGTTCAAATAACTTCTACTACAGTTTACTTTGCTTAGCTACAGAGATTATAATCTGTTCTTATCAAAGCTTGAAATGGAACTTATTGATACCTAAGTACTGTTTGCTTGCCTTTCTGCTTCGTTTGTTTGAACAGCGCCTGTAATTATCATGTATCTCACTCAAAACTGTTAAACTAATTAAATCACTACTACGCAATTTCATGTGTTATTTTCTTGTGTTACTGTCCGCAATTCATTTGGTTCAATCCTTGATCGCTGTCAACGGATGGTGTGATATCATTCTTACCTTACTCTCCCCTCTTCTCTCCATCACTCTTACACTCCGCTTTTTTCAATTGCCCATGCAAGTCAACGACCAATTTGGCCTTGTCTCAGGGAGAAGAAAAAATTGTTTATCTTACAAAGCTTTTGAAGCAGATATCAGGTCCTACCTACTTTTTTACTCGTATAGTTATACAAGTTCAGTTTTGTGATACCAGTGCCTCAGTTTCAAGAGCAGCACTGCATTCCTACCGTAATCGGAATTATTGTTCATGCACGTGGATATAACAATTCCACCATACGGCTATAAAAGTAGGTAAAATCTACTATATAGTATTATTGGGTAGATAGGTAGGTAGTTAGAATGCACTATGAGCACCGTGGGAGCACTATCGTGCTAAAAATGAACTCCTTATGAGCATTCCAGTACCCGTGAATATAACATACATATTTTTGAGGAAAATTATACGTATTTTCCTTTACATTTTCAGATATTTTGGATTGAATTATGCGAAAAAAGTGCCTAAAAATAATATTCACAGTTTTTTCAGTAAATTCGATATTGATTGAATGAAATATGGCAACGTCTGTGGGTTCATACTGCGTTCTTCCTCCTACTCAGCAAAGTAGAGCAATGGTTCTATCTTTTTCGTGCGGCAGTTGTTAAGAATTTGAGTTATGAGGCATTGAGCTATACAGAAATAACACGTCACGTAAGTGTTTGACGTTTTAGATGAAAGGGACACTTGCGATTGGTATGAATTTAAGAAGGTGGACTGAGTTATACTCAGTTCATAAAGTATCACAGTGTCAAAGTATCACAACGAAGTCACGGGGATAAAACCGCGTATAATTCGAAGCGCGGATAATAGTCTCTACTGTACATTTCTTGAGTTCTAAGTAGGGTTTCTTTAAAAACTCTCGGGGGAAAAATACACCTTTTGCTGAGTATCATCCATCAAACGTTCAGCACCGATACTATCACAAGGCTAGTGACTCAGTGGCGTAGCTAGGAATTCTGTAAGTGGAGGCGGGGGGGGGGGGGCCAATAACTCAGCTAGGAATTCTTCAAGGGGGGGGGGGGGTCCATTAAAAACCGCGACGGTAAATTTACATTATTTTGTGTACGTCCCTGATAATATTTTATGTCTCGCTCCAAGAATAAAAAAAGGGTACAATTAACGAGGCCAAGGAGGAGCAGGCTCCCTTGACCCTCCCCCCTATCTACGCCACTGTAGTGATTCTTACAAGCCAAAAAAAATTCTATATATCTTGAAAGCGTGTTTGTTATCCGTCTGTTTAAGCCGAGAGAAACGGATGGTTGATCCGGAGGTTGGAGGGAGATCGATCCTAGGAGGGCTGGAAGGACTCCCTCTGGAGGCCACTTCGGCGGCTGTTCTGGGGCTCACACTCATGGAGATCCTGTGGTGGGTCCAGTTCAAGAGCCAGGAACCGAAGATCCAATCCGTCCTGGATAACATCCCGCAGCACATGATCGACGATACGCGTTATCCGGCCTGATTTCTCCCTCATGAAATTTTTCGTCTGCTCCTCACTGAACATCACTGCCGTGGTATGGAAGAACGCCGTATGAACGTTCGAGAGTTGCCAAATTTTCGCTCATAAAATGTTCATTTTTGAGGAAAGTTATGAATATTTTCCCTTGAAATTAACAGGAATTTTAGGTGGAATTGCGAACAAAATTATCCGAAAAATTAGAAGGAAAATATTAATAAATTTACCAGGCAATTATTTTTTTATCAAAGGAAATTTGTCTAAGCCTGAAGGTTCATACGGCGTTTTTCTTTAGCAAGGCAGATCACTAAATTATGGTATTCAGGGGATAGTCCGATGTCCCTCAATATATCGTTGTCCCTCTGACGTAAGGGGTATCTCAATTTCCACGTGAGCCCTGTTCTGCCGTGCTAAGGAAGATCCCCGTTTTTACTTTCGAGAGATGCCAACTTTTCTTTCATAAAATGCTTATTTTTGAGGAAAGTTATGAATATTTTTCGTTGAATTTTTCAGAAATTTCAGGTAAAATTGCAAACAACATTATCTGAAAACTAAGAAGAAAAATATTCATAAGTTTACCAGAAAATCCGTGTTTTATAGATGGAAATTTGGCAGCTCACCTGAAGGTTCATACGGCGTTTTTCCTTAGCGCGGCAGTAATTGTCCACATAACAGTGAGCTTCCCGGGGCTCATGAGGCAACAGAGATCCGCCCTTACGTCGGAGGAGCGACAGTGTATAGGGTGATCCAAGAATGAACCGCTAAAATGCGGGAGAAAGTTCTATTGGTCAAAATGAGACTTTTTTCCTCTATGAAATTTTCGCCGAAAGTGCTTTTTAAGGCGACTACAGTGACAAAAGTGACATTTTTAAAGAGTGATACAAACTGAGTTTTGTGGGGCTTTCGTAGAGGGCTCGGACACGTAGAGTTGCGATTTGCCTCCTGTAAATAAATATGATGGAGTTAAAATGACCAAAGCTGGATTTCAAATTTTCTCACCAAATTCCACCAATAATAACCTGGGACAGAGGTGGCACCATGTCAAAAAAACTTGGGTCACATCAAACTGGATCTACCAAACTGGCAAGGTCACGATTCTGCCTGGTAAACAATTCATTAGTTGTTAGGTAATCTTTATTCACGCGTTGATCTACGCAGTGCCATCGCTAATTTGGTAGCTCCAGTTTGATTGTGTGGTCCAGGCAATAAAGGGTCATGGTTGTGTGAGTCAAAGTTTGTTAAACAGATTACCCAGGAATCAAATTTTTGTCAGTTAAGCGTTGATTCATAGATATGTATGATTTACTCACGAAGAGACCACAAATAACAGTATAACAATGATTAATAGACGCACAGTTCTCTTAAATATTAGAAAGATAACGAGATATATGAATATATTTACACATATTTTGCTAGTATCAATACTATGTTATAGCTGACCATGATATTTTATTGCTACAAATTTTTATCTTCTGAACGTTACGTTATTTCATAAGAGAGCTGCACCAAAATGGAGAGCTTTAAGAAGCTTTATAAACCTCATTGATATACTAAACTACACGAATGCGTAAAAAAAAAAAAAAAACCTAATTGTATCCACGGAGATACGTCGCTTTTGCAATGAATGGCATGCTTTAAAAGTCCTAGATTTCTCTGCCAACTAAAAAAGACACATTAATTACAAATATGTACAAATAAATTATTTTTCAAACCAATTAAAATTTGTCATAATTTAATCACCTGAATAACAACATATTGTATCTACATATTGTTTTCCCTTCTATTCATGGTGCCTTCTTGTACACATATAATATATCCTTTGAATGTCTCCCTTGGGCTCAGACCTTACTGACTAGGATCAACTTAATCTTTAAAAGAGCATTTTTCCTGCATATAAATACAAAATTAAATGTGTATTTCAAACTCAATTTGATCCAAATTTTTCCAAGGAAAAGTAAGGAAGAATCTGAGTATACGAATAAAAATTATGTGTATTGATTCCCTTGTAAAAGATTTTGCCATTTCTTACTTATGTGATAAGTTTTAAGGAAGCTTTAACGGATAATTTTTGTGAAAAAATCCAGTTTTTCCTCGTAAAAATGTTATATATCTGATCTCATCGTATTCGCCGTATGCAATTATTAGGAGGACTGTGGATTTAAAAAAAGAGGAAAAGAGCCGTTGTACATGCGCAATTTGGCCTGGAGCTCAGCGCAGAGAGAAATGATGACGAGAACTTGAGATGAAAAGGAGAAGCCCTCGGCGCGGCGCGGCGCGGCGGTCGGCATGTAACACATATTAGCACCTACAGGACTGGATGAATACTTCACGCATTGCATCAAACACAGTGCGGTCAGCGTGAGACGCATAGCGCCTACAAGAATGGATGAATACTACACGCATTGCGCAAAAGGGCAAAACACACTTCAGTCAGCGCGGCGCGTGGCGGCGGAAGTTAAAAATATTAAACCACGATTTATGTTTGTTCTTTCATAATTTTTTGGTTCATTTCTTATAGATGGAGGACTTTGTTCACACAGATATAGGTTTACGGAACTTAACTTTCCCGCAAAGTTCTGTGAAATTTTGCTAGTAGCGTTGACAGGGCTTTCGCAAAAAATGCATCCAACATCGAGTAGGTAAACGCGTCTTATGCACCCCTCTCCCTCCGGCACGTTCACTTGATGGTTTTTATTAATGTTTCAAAACGAATGAGAAGGGAGCGGCAAAATACAGGCGGCCCATGCATGGGCGGCAAGTTGGTAAATCCGGCCCTGCCGTTGTAAGTAAAAAATCACTGGGCTGCGACTTGTTTCTACTAACTACGCAGTATTCTAGTTTGGATTGTCTACTTTTCCTTAAGTTGGGAAATAAAGAGCTCGTCCTCGGCGACTTAGTAGTTTCACCAACTAATGTGCGGTAAGATGCAGTCAACTTCCGCCGTGCAGCTAGAAATACTGTATTGCAGCAAATACACCATTTATTTCATAACAAAGCATATGATCGATTGCCAAGGTGCAAAATCACTTATCTCCATTTACGACGCCGTAGATCTTATGATACTTTATTTTCTCTTTTTGAAAAATAGTTAAAATGATTTCTTGAAAACTGTTAGCAGAATACTCAGTTTAAATTTCAAGCCATGATGTTTGCTTTTTTCTCGCCGGAAAAATTTAGTGCGAGTTGCATTTTGAAACATGGAAATGGAGATTATGTGGTTTTGCACTTTGGCCATCGAAATAATTTTCCACATCACCTGGCAAATCACATGATACAAATATTTTTGGGTAAAAGCATTCGGCTCCATATGTCTCGTCGGTGAGCCGATGTGATCCCTCATTCCCTAACTCCTACAATCTTGATTTGATGGTTGAAAATGAGGAGGGCGTTTTGAGGTGAAAGGTGGAGGTAAGGGGGGGGGGAGTGTACGATTATTAATTCACCGTGTGAAGCTGGGAGCAGTAAATTGGATTATTGTGAACACGAATGCGGGGCCAAAGTCGCTGGAGGAAGAGAAGTAATGGGAGAAAGGGGGAGGAGAGGGAAGGCGAGGGCAGAGAGGGGCATAATTTGCGCGCGAAACCAAGAATCATCCGGTTCCGGCCGCGCTTTGCGCCGCGTTTCCTGGCGGGTATGCAACCTGCACAATTCTCGGCGCCTTGAATACCAACGACCCGCGACCCGCCACACGTTTAATTACTCGCCGCTCAAATCCCACGTTGACAAATGGACCAACCATCCATTGTTCTGACACGGAGACAATATGGTGGTAGTTGGACGCCTGTCGGTACACAAAAAAGCACGGTAAACTATGATGATGTAATATCGATGATTAAAAGTGTGTATCTTTATTGCAAAGTTTCAAGATCATTGGTAAGAATTAGTTAGAAGAGAACTAACATCTCCTTGAAATTTTCTGCAAATATCTATGTAACCTATGTATCTATATAACCTAAGTTTAAGCATCGAAAAGTCAGTTTGAACTTTCTGTCCGTCATGAGGATCCATGTAATTTCGAAACTTCAAATAGGTATTTCTCGGAATAGCAAAATCTGCACTTGTGCGCCTTGTCCTCCAAGTTCCTCATATATGAGTAACCCGTGCATGTGCGTATATCTGTATCGTATATCTGTATCTGTATCGTATCGTAACGCAAATAGTATTTGCGTTACGCACAATACTATGATCAATATCAAAGCTATCATTGCAATGCTGTTACAAGCAACATATTTCCTTTTTCCGCACTCTTAAGACGTAATCCCTGGGGATCCCAGCGCCCAGACGAGGAACCCCACATTATACCGGTTTCGTTCAATGGTCAAATGGAGAGATGACGGTACCATACCGATGTGAACGGTCTGAGGGAGGGGGCAGCCGGCAGCCCCCAGGATCCTGTTGCTGCTGGGCGAGGATATAGGGGTTTAAAGGAGTTTGTTCCTTAGTCTCCCTCACTAATTTTGGTCTCTGTGGGGATGATTAAAATAGGTGAATCTCACTTATCAGAAGAATCAGTTTACCCATATCCTAAGTCCAACATAAATCAAGCTATGATCTATTGTGGAAGGGGGGGGGTGCTGTTTGCCTTCTGCGACACAAGAGACTGCCACTGGAGTCTTGGTCCGGCAGTCCTAGCGCACTGCCTTTAAAGCGCTGGTAAGTCACTGGATTTACAAACATTTTAAATCCTTCGAGACTCCGTGCTTATGGCTCAGCTGAGGAAACTGGCGCAATACCTTGTGTAATGTCTAGTGGTCGTCAAAGGCTACAAAGATAAAACAAATGTCCCTCAGATAGAAAACTTAAGACAGTGAATCTTTTCCCGATGATAATTGAGTATTCTGCGTAATTTAGGCGGATCAAAACGCCAACATGACTAATGATGTGACTCATTGTTTTGTCTGTAAAATGTATAGGCTAGAGTCCCTTTATGAGAGAGCTAAGACAACGCGGCTCATGTATCTCACAAGCGGGAATAAAGATTACACAACTTGAACGTTCGTCGTAATCTTTGATCAAATCGTTTCCGAATTCCTGTCTCCGTTCCTTGCCGTGCCCCCAATTCCCCGGTCCATTTCAGTTTATAATCTTTGCAATCCGTGAATATGTAATATTTATTCCCGTTTG